ATGAGTTTTACAGAAAGCTTTCGGACCTCCTCCAAAAACTTAGGCGTTCTGATTTAGTTATAATGGCTGGTGACTTTAATGCTCAAGTAGTTAGACTGAGTGAAAATGAAAGACACCTAGGTGGATGTTATGGTGTCGCGGCGACCGTCTGTCGCAAGTATGCTCAGATAACCGCCTATTCTTAGCAAACACTAACTTCAGACATAAGGAAAAGCATCTGTTGACCTGGTGACCTCCAAAGTCGTCTCAACGTTGGACCCAACTAGATCACATCGCCATCAGCCATCGATGGAGGGGTTCGATAGAGGACTGCCGCCCGTTCTAGGGCACATGTTTAGATTCAGATTGTTATGGCGGGCACTTAAAGAAGATTGACTATCTCCTAGAACTGTTTTTTCTGCTTAATATTCATTATTTTTGGTTGTATACAAAGTAAGCATTTTATTCCTATTATTGTGACGTTGCTCTTATCCTATACTCTTGTTTGAGGCATTAACTGTTGTTATATCATTTCTCATTTATGAACTATAGTTAATTGACTGCTATGCGTTACCCCAGTTCACACTCACTATTACTGTTATTTTGTATTGATGTCAGTTTTCTAATTGGTTTACGATGCAGTCTGATTTTTCATGTATATAAGGGCATGATTGAAATGATAAACGATCTGATCTGTCTCACAAGTCGTTGTTTTTTTTCCTCTATTCCGTGGGGCTGGTAATTGAGAGGCTGACGTGTCTGTATAGTGATTAGCGATCATCAAGGTCATTGTATATATTGCACAAACACAACACAGATCCTGCCCTAGTGCGAGCGCGTATTTGTTTGAAGCTTACTGGACGTAGGAAAGACACCGTAAGAAAGCCTCTAAGGGTTTTACTTAATGATAATCAAACTAAGAAAATATTTCAGGAGCAACTAGAGAGTTAAGCAACCATGTAAGCGAATCCCATCCAGAAGCAGGTTGGAATGATATCAAAAAGGCTGTGGAAACAGCAGTTGTAGTGTGCCGATTCGGGCGTGTTCTTACGTTTCGTAATAAGCTCGTTCAGACTACCTTATCCAAATGACGTCTGACGGTTGATAAATCAGAAGATGAACTCCAAGTATCGTATACGTTTATTCGAGGCACACCACATAGCGAATTGAAGAAGCGAATAGGAGAAGGCTAGTGAGCCAACTCAAAGAGATAGAGTATGACTAAGAATATATAGTCCGATAAAAATAAGACAGACATATGACAAGCGAAATAGGTATGCACACACATGAATAAAAGCGACGAATGATTGACAAGGTCAAATGCAAGCGATACAAATCATGTGAGTTCATGGGAATATTACGAGATTAACATTAAAGCGAAAAGGATGAGTAAGTGCGTAAGCGTAAGCAATGCTCAGTCGTACAAGCTCATACAAAGCAGATAATAAAAAATAAGAATGGTACATATGAGTTGTTGCTATACAAATGGCTTGGTTAAATAAATTAATCGAAAGGGCTTAACCAAGTTAGATGTGAGAGAACAGAAATATATGTGGAGGTACTACACAGTAATATCTGCTAGTAAGGTAAACCATAAGGCTAGAATGAAGCCGTGGATTTCAGTAGCATCTACCGATCCGATAGATGCCCGAAAACTCATCCCGGCTGGCTCTGAGTGTGATGAGGAGCGGAGTCAGCCTAGACGTAGGCTGACAAAAGCCAACGCAACGACCGAGAACAATGGTGGGTGGCAAAAGCGATGGAAAAGGCAGCGGCGATCGGCAACACTAGACAACTATTTAGACTCATCAAGGAAACTGGTATTAGAAATCGAAGTGTGTGTGAGACAATTTCGGAAAAGGATGGTCTTGTTATCCATTCTCAATCCAGGAGACTAACCCGATGGGCAGAACACTTTAGGGATCAGTTCAATTGGCCTTCAGCCACACTTCGGTTACCCACGATCTCCAGTCATCCTGAATGGCAAATCAACGTAAATACCCCTGGTCTTTATGAAGTTGAGAAAGCGTTAGGAAACCTGATGCGAGGGCGAGCTGCAGGTCCTGATAGACTGACCCCTGAGATATTTAAGGATGATGGTCCAGTTTTAGCAGCTAGGTTGACTGAGATCTTAGGTAGAATCTGGGAACTGGACGTAATCCCATCCGACTGGTCTCAATCACTGATTGTCCCAATCTATAAGAAAGGACACAAGTCTTCTTGTGACAATCACAGGGGAATAAGTCTAACTAATATAGTTTCTAAATTGTTAGCCTTGATTATACTTAGACGCCTTACTAGTGCTCGTGAAGAGCAGACTCGAGAAAACCAGGCTGGTTTTCGACCTGGACGTGGTTGTATAGACCACATCTTCACACTACGACAGGTCCTGGAACACAGACACACATTTAGGCGTCCTACAATAGTTGTTTTCCTGAACCGCAAGGCAGCATTTGACTCAGTGGATCGTGAGGTTCTGTGGCAGTGTATGTCTTTGAAAGGTGTACCAGAGAAATACATTAACCTTATACAAGCTCTCTACTCGAACACCACTGGTCGAGTGAGAGCTTATGGCGAACTATCACCAGAATCCTTTACTTCAAGTGGTGTCCGTCAGGGATGTCCACTCTCTCCATTCTTGTTTAACTTTGTCGTAGACATCCTCTTAGAGTTAACATCAAGCTCGTCAGATTTTTCAGGGGTGGACTTTCTACCAGGAAAATCGCTTACTGACCTAGAATATGCCGATGACATCGTTCTATTCGGTGAAGACGCTGACAAAATGCAGAGTCTTCTGACTATGCAAAATGTTGCTTCAAGATTGCGTTGCATCGGCACCTGAACTAGTGATAGGGAGTGAAGTAGTAGAGCGTGTTGACCGCTTCACTTATCTTGGGAGTCTCATCGGTGCTGATGGCCTGGTTTGTGACGAAATCTTAGCTCGGAGACAGAAGGCTCGATTGGCTTTTGCCAACCTGCGTCACTTATGGCTCAGGCGAGATATCCGTTTGCTGACTAAAGGACGAGTGTACTGTGCAGTGGTTCGCTCCGTCTTAATTTATGGCTGTGAAACATGGCCAGTGAGAGTAGAAGATATTCGTAGGTTACTGGTTTTCGATCATAGGTGTCTTCGAAGCATTGCACGTGCATCGAATAGGCAACGCTATTGTTAGGAAACGGGTACTAGGTAGGGATGGCAAACCAATAGGTGAAGTATTGAAACTTCATCAGTTGAGGTGGTTGGGACATGTGTTGTGTATGTATGCCTAACCGACGACTTCCTCTACAAGCTTTGTTTTGTAGTGTAGGAATATGTTGGAAGTTAGGGGCGGCCACACCAAAACATGGCAGAAATCCATGAAGTCATTGACGAGTGGACTTAGCCATGTCGGTAATTGTCGACTACCTGGTTGGGGTCCGCGAGATGATAATAATCGATGTTTAGAGACCTTGAACGACATGGCTCAAAATCGTTCACAATGGCGCCGGTTCATTTATTCTTTGTATTCTCCTAAATCCTAATCTTCTGTATTCTTAACACCTCTAGTTTTGACTTTCTAAACTTTTCTCACTAAATCATACCTCTTGAATAATATCACCTAATCCTAACCTCTTCGGTTACTTCTAATACCTTTACTACCTCTTCCACTATTGGATTTGAATTGACAATTATATTTGTGCTGATGTGGTATGGCAACATGAACTGATGTACTTACGTACGAAGTTGTACGTTGCATCTGACTGACCGTTTCAGTATGTTTGATGTGATATGTATTAAATTACCTTAAGGAAAAGTAGATTTTCCAACAAAAATCCTTACATAAGAAAGTAAATAATCAATTTTTCAGTTGGCTGTTTGCTGGTATTATACTTTTTCTAGACTTCGAATTATGTGTTATATCACCATTAAGTGCATAATCACTAGATCTAATGTCCTTACAAACTATGCTATTTACTCATACTACTAACATTTTAACAGTAGTTAAAACAGCAATTCAATTATTTCCCTTTATGGAACTTAATCTAACCGTAAAACATCAAAATTCCTATTCGCAACTATATTCTTGTTTTATAGGGTATATTTAACATAAGTTTAACAATAAAATACCTAGAGTTGCAAATAATGTATTATTTTCATCTAAAGTGCTTGATTATGAAGTAGAATACACTTAAAACGGACTATTTGCCATCGAGGATCAATACACAGAGCAGCAAACGATTGCCATCGTTGTATCTATTAATTCATATTGCATAGTGCTGCAATAATAACACATAAGCACAGCTTAAAATCATATGAACTCTTAATTATTAATCAACTAAAACCAGTGACTGTCCAGTTCACTCAATCTATATCCATAAGAATGTATAGATTAAATAATTCAGCAGTCAGATGCTTTCCTATAGTAACCAGTGAGTTATACAGGTTACTCTACAATACATGCTGAAGTTTGGGCTGAACGTTCAGTTTTAGAATGTTGGTAATGCAGAAAGCATATCTGTACGTTTCACACAGTATATAACATAGACTCGATTATTATACTCTTGCTTCTGATGATATATTAGGTCTCAGTTGGAATTTGTTTGAACTGAAAAATCCGTACATGCTGGAAATCAATCCTCTACATTACAGTACTGTCTATTTACTGATAAAATGCAAAGAACACCTCATAGTTACCTTCAGTTTAAAAGAACTAAATTAACTAAATAGATTGTTTCTAAATAATTGTGGTTTTATATTTTCACTAAACACGTGGACGTGGAAAATTACTTTTTATGATAAACAACTAAACTAACATCGGCCGCAAAAACTGACAATAAATAAACGTGATGACACTTGAGTGGTTAGTTTTCAAATGAATCTGATTTAGATAAAACAGTGAACAAGTAAGTTATGTCTACTTTTTGTTTGGATTATGAATTGTTCGGTTTGTATTTTTTCTACAATGGACATCACACATGAAACTATAACACTGATTCAAACGAAAACTCAAAAGTCAATGTAAGAGAAACAAGGTAAGTTGTTAATGTCCTCCTACAGTGAATTCGCCTTTACGCCATTTGTCAAACCCATTGATTATTAACGAGGCTGCAATTCCTAGGGCTACACCATGAGGAAATTTTTTGAAAATTATTTCTGATATCAACCGAGAACGACTTTTGTAAAAGTTCGGTAAATAGTGCCAAGCATAATTACTGAAATGTAGAAGTTGTAAATAAAACACATAGTTTAAGTGATAAGCTTTACAAACGACTTATTATGTTTTGATGTACAAAACTACAATTATCAAAAATTATGTTAATAAAAGTAAACAACTTTGATGTTAATGAGAGATTAATCTATTTTAGATTATTCATTATTATGTGAAATATTGAAGAAAGAAACTATTGTTCAGAAACCTTACAAATTGTTCTCTATGGTTTTAGTTATTACGTAAAATTGCGAAAGACATGAAAGAATTAGGAAGTATAAAAAAAAGTCGCAATATAGGGAACCAATCAGGGATGCCCGGACAGGAAGGTTATCTGATGACCATCAGAAGTGTTCTAAAGGATAAATGCATATTACTAGCCAACAAATAAGTTCATTTTCCAAATTGAATATATATATATATATATATATGTTTTTGTGTACATTATTCAGTAGCCAAAAAAACTCGCTTTTGGCTCAAGTAGCAACTTTTGAATGGTTAGCAGGTATCACGTTCAGATATCCAACATAACAGGTTAGAACAGACAACACCGGGTATGAATATGTCGTGGGATAGCATAGATCGCAAAAAGAGACCGAAACGGTGAGCGATTTGTAAATTTACGTACTTTAATAAAATGGTTGTGGGCGGCACCATTTCCCTCACAAATGCATAGACATAGCGACATGACTTCCACTAAATCACACTAAAGAATACCAAATCGATCAGTCAATCAATCGATAACAACGTAGAACTTCGTATGTACATCCGTTCATGTTGCCATATATATACATACATACACATATGCATCAATAAAAAATCCAGAAGTTCTATAGAAGACGTAAGTCAGTCAGTCAGTTGCAACACAGAACATCGTATGTACGTATATCAGTTCAGGTTGCCATACCACATTAGCACAGAGATGCAATTGTCACCTCAAATTCCGTAGTAACAGAGGTATTAGAAGTATTAGCGGTAATGGAGAAGATTAGGGTCCGAAGATATTATTTATGAAGGATAATCCAGTGAAAAGAACTTAAAAAGAGAAAAATAAGGTAATTAGGAAGTCAGATTAGGATTTGAGAGAACACAAAGAATGGATGCACTTGTGCCACTGCAAGCGTATTTGAGCCATTTCGCTCAAGGTTTCTAACAATCGGTGACTACTGTCTCGTGGACCACAATCAAGTAGTCTACACCGACCAACATGGCTTAGTCCCCTTGTCAAGGACGTTATGGATTGGTACCATTTTGATCTGGCCGCCCCTGGCTTTCTTCTAACAGACTCAATCACCACAAAAAACCGCTCGTCGTTGCAGTTAGTGGTTAGGCATATATAGCGGGGTGAAACTGAAGCTAAAGAAGCACTAGACAACTGGACAAACAGCACCACAGAAGTCTAATACAGCTTTTCTTCAAGATACTGACAAACTCAGTGAATTTAAGATAGAGCTCAGATATCACTTGCAAGCCACACAAGAGCTACTCAGAAAAGGGGGAACTAACATAGAGAACAACTGTAAAAGGATCAAAGAAACAACACCTACAACATGCCAGGATGTTTTAGGTCGCAACAAGCACTAACATAAGCACTGGATCTCTGTTGATACACCATACAAAATTCGAGAAAGGAAAAACACAAAAACAGAAAGTAACAACAGTTGAACAAGAGCAGTGAAAGCCATGACAGATCGAACACACAGAAACAAACAAGCGACTAAAGAGGAGCATTATGAAACAAATAGGCGAGACAACGAAGAAGCTAGCGGGAAAATTATAAACCAGAGCGGCCAGTCCATAGCAAGGAAGGCAGAGCAATCACTGACACCTGAGAACAGTGAAGCAGGTGGTAGTTTAGTCTGAAAAACTGCACCCACAGACCTCCTGACTGGCATCATCCAACTAACAGTCGAAGAAACCAGTGTGGCTATCAGGAAAATCAAGTGGCAAAGCAGCAACAACACCGGTTGAAGCACTGAAGTCAGACATGTGAGTAACTGCACAACGAATCCGCATTCTCTTCACAAAGATTTGGGAGGAAGAACAAGTGCCAACAGACTCAGAAGAAGTAAACTTCATCAAAACATCAAAGAAAGGATAAGTGAGCAAGCCTGAGAACTAGAGGCATCACACTACTATCAGCTGCAGAAAAGCTTTTCGACAGTGTCGCTGAACCGGATGAGAGATTCAGTAGACGACTAACTTCGAGGTCAACAGGCCAGATTCCTAAGCATCGATCTATAACTTAAGACAACTGTCAACCAACACCAAAAACACAATTTTCAATGCAAACCTTAAGACAGTTTTATTGTGCAGAGCTGAAACTTGGGGGGCTATCACAGCCATCATCAAAGAAGTATAGGTAGATTTTTATTGTGTATGAGAAATACCGTAGCCAATTCTGCCTAAGATTATTTACACTATACACTGACGTATGAAACTTTACTCCGTGATATATTTTTGATGATGGTTGCTGTGTAGTTTTATGATAAGTGATAAACGCTTTTAATACATCAATGACAAAATACCTATAACGTATGTAGCTACAAATTTTAATAACTAGGGCTTACGTTGATACCAAATGATGAAGCAGAAATACTATCATAATCGTACATTAGCTTTTGAGCTTTAAATACTATGCCAAGTGTCAAAGAGCTAAGTGATCTATTGTGATTAACTATAATGAGAAATACGCTATAACTTTTACGAAAGCCAATAATTAACGACACCTACCGAGCCCACGGATCTTTCAAACCTAGCTTAGCTAGTTTTTCGACATGCTCTTTCATTTGGGGCGAGTCAAGCGTATAATTCTTCCAGTCAGGGCATTTCCAATCAACTTTCATATCTGACCAAGATGTGCTATGAGATAAACAAAAATCATGTGTAACTTTTAACTACTTATAATCGTACGAGAAATGTACAAAAATTTATACGCAATGTTCAAAATAGTAGAAAAAGTATCACACTTAAAATTAGCATACCGAAGAGAAGCAAACAAAACTAATGAGAGAATGTGCAACAAATGTCATCAACGATATGAATGCGGGTTCAGGAAACCCCAAACAACATGTGAGTTAAGGCAAAGTTCAAGTTTAATCGCAAGCCGACTGGGTTCAAAAATACAATCTCTAGTTCACATTGTTCTGTCCTGGCAACAATGCTCAGTCCTTGTATACTTCCGTTAATTTCCGGAATAACATGATAAGAGTAATTACAAGATGGGGGACTAACTCCACATGTTAAAGTATCCGGATGCATTCAGGTAATCACCCCGGTGGAATGTGAAGATAAATGTAGAGAAGCTATTTTACGACGACATCTACAATGGCAGAAAAGTATCTAAGTTCCTATTTGGAACAGGGATCTTGATGACGAACAGGGTTTTATAAATCACACTAACCGTTGAAAATGCCCACATCGAAGTAAATGAAGTGACTACAGGACAATACAACCAATGATGATAGGATATCAGTTGAGAAACCATCGGCAGTGGATTACTTTCTATGGACGACATGAATACTAGTGGTCATAAGCGGCCTTTTCATCAAAATTAAACCATAATAATAGAATCTGAGTATAATGTATATCTGCTTACTCCAGCACGTGACTATAGTAGGAAAAACAACTAACATCTCTACTTACGGAAAGTGACGCAGACTTCTAATTCGTGCGGCGCTGTTCAATATCCCATATCTTTTTCGCGACTAGTGTAAACTAATTCGATTTCTTCGCGCTCGATTCTTGTTCTTCCGGTACAGTTCCAGGTGTTCGGTAATGTCCAATGGATGGAGGTCTAGCCACTCGACTGTCTAATTCTACTCAGTTGGCAGTTGGTTGTTAGTTTGTGTGTCTCGGGATATGAATGACACGGACAAAAGCTGACTGCTCAGCTGTCTTTTGACCCTGCAGATCCAATACCTTTAGCACGAGTTAATGTAAACCAAGTGATGTCTTTGCTAGCGATTTTCGTTCTTTCAGTGCGGTTCCAGGTATCTGGTAGTGTCCAATGAATGGTGGTCTAGACACTCGATTAAACTAAGTCCAGTCAGTTAGTAGTTGTTTATGAGTTTGTGTGTCCCGTGATTTGAATGAGTGCGTTTGTTCTAGGGCAGTACGTTTTCTGGATATCAGCAGCCATCACGTTCAGAGGTCGGGGATCAGTTAGTTGCAACATGGAGAATATTTAATTACTTACTCCTGTTACCCTAAATGGAGCATAGATAACCGGCCACTATTCTCCAGCCTACTCTGATCTGGGCCACCCTTTTCAGTTCTGTCCAGTTTTTGTTCATTCTCCTCATATCTTTCTCTATTTCTTGGCATAATATGTTTCCTCAGTATATTGAGTAGACAATTATGAATATACACCTGTATCTTGTTGACGATTGCTTTGGTATTTTTCCAAGTTTCTGCCTCATAGTGTGGAATTTTCTTGACATTTGTATTGAAAACTCTGATTTTATTGTTGATAGGGAATTGTTTTTTGTTCTAGATACTCTTTAATTGTGGAAATGCAGCCCTCGCTTTACCGATCTGCTTCGGACCCACCTTTTACGTCAATGATGCGGCCTAGATACGTAAATGTTTTTACATCCTCCAAGGCATCTTCATCAAGTGTTATTTGTTTGGGGCATGTTGCGTTGTAGCTGACAATCTTGCTTTTGCCTTGATGTGTGTTGAGACATACTGCTGCTGAGGCTGCTGCTACACTGATCGTCTTCTCTTGCATTTGTTATTGCGTGTGCGATAGAACAGCCATGTCATCTGCAAATTCCAGATCGTTCACCACACAGCCTATACCTAAGTAATCCAGACTGTTGATCTCGAAAATATGTGACTACGGAGTCCTTCATTCTGTTTAACAATACTCTGTTGAAGACTTTGACTGGTATTGAAAGAAGAGTGATGCCTCTGTAGTTCTCACACTTGCTCAGGTCGCCTTTCTTTGGTATTTTGATGAGGTATCCTTCTTTCCAATCTGACGGTACTTGTTCCTCATCCCAAATCTTCTTGAAGCGGATGTAAAATATTTTCGCACTTGCTTCCACATCTGCTTTCATTGCCTCTGCTGGAATGTTGTCTGGTCCTGCTGCGTTGCCTCTCTTGATTTGTCTGATGGCCATACTGATCTCCTCAATCGTAGATGCGCCAATATTATTTGGGTGGTCCGTGGATGCTGCTTCGATGTTGGGTGGTTTCAGTGGAGCTGATCGATTCAAGAGTTCCTTAAAGTGCTCTACCCACCTATTTTGCTGTTCTTCAGTGTTGCTGATTACTTTGCCTTCCTTGCTTTTCACTGGTCGTTCTGGTTTACGATAGTTTCCAGCGAGCTTCTTTGTTGTTTCGTACAATTGTCTCAAGTTTCCGTCTCTTGCAGCCTTTTCTGCGGTCATTGATAGATCTTCCATATTTTCGTTTGTAAGCTCTGATGCTCTTCTTCACTTCCCTGTTTGCTTCTGTGTATGCAGCTGTGCGGCAGCTTTCTCTGCTGTTGTTCGGCTGACATTGATTGCTGCCTTCTTGTTCCTCCTTTCTTCAATTTTTGCAAGAGTACAAACAGAGATCCATTCCTTATGATGGAACTTCTTGTGACCCAGAACTTCGTGAAATGTCGAAGTGATTGCCTCCTTGATCCCTTTCCAATTGTTCTCCAATGTTGCATCCTCTCCATTGAGTAGATCCTGAAAGGCCTGGAACCTATTGGTGAGGGCTATCTTGAATTCGTTGAGTTTTACGGTATCCCGAAGAAAGGCCGTATTAAACGTCTGTGATGTTGTCTGCCCCATTGTCCAGTGTTTCTTGAGTTTCATTTTTATTTTAGCGACCAGCAAGTGGTGATCTGAGGCTATATCAGCTCCTCTCTTCGTTCTCATATCCTCCATAGTCCTTCTGAACGTTTTGTTGATACAGATATGATCAATCTGGTTTTGAGTAGTGTGGTCCGGTGAAATCCATGTGGCTTTGTGAATGCGTTTGTGCGGGAATATTGTGCCACCGATGACCAGTTTGTTGAAGGCACATAGGTTTGCGAATCTCTCACTGTTTTCGTTCCTTTCTCCCAGTCCATGTCGTCCCATGATGTCTTCATATCCAGTGTTGTCCATTCCAACCTTGGCATTCAGGTCTCCCATAAGAATCGTCAAATCCTTTGGTGAACTTTTCTCGACTATTGACTTGCAGCCTTTCATAAAATTGATCTTTAACGTCGTCATTGTAGTCATTGGTAGGTGCATAACATTGGATGACGTTCATTGTAATGTCCTCTTTGTTTGTTGTCAATGATGCTCTAATGATCCTTGGTCCATGAGATTCCCATCCTATCAGTGCCCTTTGTACTTTGGTTAGTGTCCTTTTAACGAGTTAGTTTTCTATTGCGTGAGGTCATCAAGACCATGCCGGACCGCCCTAATTTAACCGAAAGTGAGCCTGGCAGAGGGTCTCCAGGTAAAGTTAATGAGTAGAATAATAAGGAGAAAATCCTAATGCCAATAAGAAGACTGAATAAGTAGATCGTAAAGATGACTCATTGATAGTAAAGATTGTGCAAATAACTGAAATGCAAACAAGGGAAGGGAAAGAATATAACGAACGAGAAAGAAAAAGTTACTAATCAGAAGAAATGAAAACAATAACTACGAGCAGTTTTGGGACATGCATCAGGCAGAGCTCGTTCACGGAGGAGATGATAATCTGTGTGTAAATTAGAGTTTATCAAGTTTCTTCTTTAAGTTGTCCAGCTGAAACAATTCTATATGAGAAAAAATGTGCACAAACTCAGGTGTTCATTCTTTCACGCGCAATTTTTCGAGGATCTCGTCAATAGACGTGGTTGTGACGCTTAGGTTGAATTCTCACGATAAGATGATCTGGAGTTTCTTTATCAAACCATATGTGACCCTCCTGTAACTCAGAGGGAATAATCCAAATGCTTGAGTCTATCTTCGCAAGATTTATCCTTCAACCCTGTCACCCATTTCGTTACTCGTCTCTGCACTCGATGCTACAGGTTTATGTCATCACATTTTTACATCAGTTACGTCTCCTCACTGTCCTATCGAAATTTATAAAAGGGACTAATTGTTTTAGATTCATGTCTCTTTCAAGGAAAGGAGGTGCGACGAAGTTGTTAACCTGAAGTTGTGGGCATGCGTATGTCCGAGGTGATTGCACCAACTTGTGTTCGTATAAAGTGAAGAGTTGCATTTGCCTCGGCTCTGTCCCCTATTTAGTTCAAACTGGTGTCTGTGCGTTGTATGGTTATTGGACCAAGATTGCGCTCTGAAATGACACTGAGGACAGACGTCTGTTGAGAGTGTTAATCCTTTGTGTCACTTTGAGCAGAATGTTGATAAAATGATATTTCGACTAGTTCAGTTTCAAACCGTTTATCACTGCTCGTTTCTCTACTGTTGTAAAGTCATTTTGAAGCTGAAATGAATCCTCTCCACTTCTTATGGACCTACAGATCTTTGTATAATCTGCATAGATTAGTGCCAATAATCTGATCCCATCACTCAAGTTATTGGTAAGTATCGGGAAGAGGAATGGAAACAAGATGTTCCTCTGTGAAATTCCTGAAGTTGAGACTCTCCAGTTCTCACGCACTATATTTATCATGGTACGAAACCTTCTCTGTTGCAAGTAGTTTCTGAGCCAAGATAGAAGTGGACCAATACAGCCCATTCTCACAACCTTCGCAATTAGGAGTGCGTCGATACTGTGATGAAGGCTTTCTTGGAGTCAACGAGTATTATATGGACCAGCATCTTATGGTCTCGGTAGGGTTTCCAGCTGTCTCATGCTATGAGAAGACTGGATGAGCATGATCTGCCTTTCAGAAACCCGTGTTGAGCTTCAGGGATGATGTTGTTCTAATCCATGTACTGCCTCATTTTTTCCTTCACCAGTCCTTCCATTACCTTCGATAGTATTGGCAGTCATGCCAGATTTAATCACATTTATCAAAACACCCAGTCAGTTTGCAGTTATTTGGTGAAATGTTTTGACAGACTTCAGGTTGCCTTATATAATAGGGCCTCAAAGCGATGTTGTCTGGAACACTTTTGTCAATGAAAATATCAAAAGCAGACAAACCAGAAGTTAGAAGTCATGGAGTTCGTAGATATATTAAGAAGACTGTTTAGTATCAACAAGCAGATGATTTAGGCTAACTCATCATTGCGAGAGGATTGCGTAATTTTGTATTCTCATTTATAAGATTGTGCACGTGCTTGACCTGACACCTTCAACTTGAGATGTGTCTAATAAAATTTATGCGGCCAGCTTTAGAGCTGATGACGTACGGAATTATTTCTCTCGAGGATTTGTATATCGTCAGATACAAACTGTTGTCTGACCTTTGTTTGACAAATGTCTTTTTAACTGTAACTTATTCAGTGTATTTCAGGTATGCGTGTCTATCTTCTGTTACTCGTATTATCTATCTATCTATCTATCTATCTATCTATCTATCTATCTATCTATCTATCTATCTATCTATCTATCTATCTATCTATCTATCTATCTATCTATCTATCTATCTATCTATCTATCTATCTATCTATCTATCTATCTATCTATCTATCTATCTATCTATCTATCTATCTATCTATCGATCTATCTATCTATCTATCTATCTGTCTATCTATCTATCTATCTATCTATCTATCTATCTATCTATCTATCTATCTATCTATCTATCTATCTATCTATCTATCTATCTATCTATCTATCTATCTATCTATCTTTCTATCTATCTATCTTGTTCACATAAACATCATAAATATACGTGTCCTAAATATAATTGGCATTTGACCCTTGATTTCTACATGGCATTAAGTTAAGTAATCAGAAAAAGACACATGAATTGCATGAATACAATTTTGGCCGACTGAATGTCATGAGACATTTGTACCAAGATGTGCCTAACAGTGATTTAGTGCCATAGTTTGACCAAGCACTTTCAGCTAAGGGTGTGTTCAACACTGCCGAAGATTCATGTTAGTTGATTGAGGTTGGGTTTGAACCGTTTTAACTGGTCCAACAGTGTTTGTTAGTTCGCTTGTTCTGGACACTAGATCGATACTTACGTCAGATAATGAAGTATCTGTTATTCCTCCATAAACCGGTTCGGATTCAGAGAATGCAACGTCATTCTTCGTAGTAACACCTATTCTAAGGGAACAAATCAATGTAAATCCATTCATTATGATACGTTTACAACAAAGACAAAGACCTTCAAATTTATACAAAGTAATTCTAACCGTCCGTTGGACAATGAGTAATAGATTATCCGAAATCGTGCGGTCACTAAGGATTATTCAGATCATGGGATTATCCAAATCCGTAACGGTGTCTCTGGTCTGATGGCTGAAGAATACAATTCAAAATCCATCTTTTGATATGGTCCAAGTAATTAGTAATAAGAAAAAACACCTAAGGAGATTCTCTGCATATTCGCACCGGGGCATACTGAAAATGAATTTTACGGTCTGTGAATCGGATACGAGTTCCTCTTAACGCTCAGTCAGATTCACGTTGAGGGTGAAGCTACTGTACAAGTATCGGTGAGACAGAAAACTTTAAATTGGTGACCTACAACGAGTGACTGTGTTCTTCGACCTTGGTTGTTCCTAATGAGTGCTGGAATGGTACATTTCCAAAGTGATAGTGGTGGAAGCAGATTTTAAGCTAAGATAACTGAAGGCTTTTCCTTATTATGTGGACTGCAGTAGCACGTAGATAAAAATTTAGTTTCAGAAGTAATGAAACGTCTTCCATTATTCTAAGTACTACGAAATGAAGTTAAAGTATTTCAGAGGTATACTACTTCTCGCAGAAAAAAGTGAAACTTTTCCATGGCTGAGTATTTCTCGATGACGGAGCTTACGGTGATCTCAAGAATCCAACCGTCAACTGAAGCTAGTTCTATGATGACATTATTTCGAGAAGATAGGAGAACGGATTACACGTGTTGTATGGGCTTGAATAAAAGAAGTTGTTTGAAAAGATCTCCGTCAAATATCATACTTCTTGATCTTAAGATAATTTTTCTTGCCAAACGTCGTCCTTGTTCAATATTACGAGGCTGTTTGTTCAAGTCCTGTCGATTAGTTCTCTTTTAAATACAGCTTTCTTAATCAACTCTTGAGGTTTTTAAAAGGCACTACTAAAGACATCATATATGGCAAGTGCCTGGATTCAAACACTGTTAGGTTATTATCTATAATAAAATTCAAGAATAAAAAATAACCATAAAGCTAATATTGTCTTATGAACAGACCTCAGAAATATCCGTTCAGTTTCTACCAATCCCTCGCTTCTTGAGGACATACTATTACGTGTTTTAAACACAATAACTTAACATTTACAAAGGAATTTTTATGTACCTTAAAGTATAGCGCTGTATCAGTAATATCTGACGTACGTCAACGTTTTCCACGTCGGTACGAAACATGATTTGTGTCATTAAAATACATGCTACGGCATTGTAATAACTAAACTGAAATTCATATATGTCTGTACATGAAAGCGTTGTTCTGTACACCTACCTAGGAAACTGGTTAGTAATTCAAGTATGCGAGACAACATTTAACAATTTTGCTTCATTTAATTTGTTGTGGTTCGAGTCAAGAGACTGTTGTGGTATACTTTTACGAAGATAACACAACTGCTGAAATATGAACATTTATTAATATACTTAATTCTAACAATAATTGTTATATTGTACTCCTTCGGTTAATTTTAGTGGTGACCGAGTCGAGGTTGACTATGATCACCACTAAATACTTATTACTATCCCGTCACCAATTTCAGAAATAAATCAAGGGTTGAGAATATATTTGAAGGAAGAAGTAGGCGTTACATCGAGCAGCAAGTTATGGAAGATGGCAGCAACGCGAAAAAGAACGTTGCGCGCAGGTAAGTGTTTCTGGTACAGTTAAACAAAACGAGTACAATTATAAATGTTTATTTTTCACCACTCGCATTTTCTTCGTAGAAGTGTTCCACTACAAGACTTTGATTATTTTTACCAATTAATTACGTTCGAGTCTGAAGCGTTATCCAGTCGTGAATTAATAAGAAACGAAACTGGGATTGTCCAGATGAAATACGTATATTTGCTGGCGATTTCGTGGTATCGAAAGAATACCGAAATCATGCTAGATAAAATGGGAGGAAGGTACAGAACAGTATTGCAAGATGTAGTACAAACTAAGAATCAATGAAATGTTCGATAAAACGTTCACTAGTACATTGGTAATAATAATGAATGTTGTTATTTAACCAATTGTGTTTTCTTCGTAAAAGTGAAATGACTACAAATTATTGATCGTCAAATACTAATGCTAATAATATGAATCATAAATGTGTGACCGTTTGCCTTTATTGACTGTCTTTCCAGTTAAATCGTAGAAATGAAACTCAGAACTAGGCAACGTTATCCATGTGATAGATTTTCTATTAAGTCGGCCGAAAAGGATATCTAATATGGAGCAATCATAAGCGAAAGTAAATATTTTTTTGAAACATAAATGCGGATGAAATGAAATTTTTATTTTATGGGTTCCTCACTAGAATGATGTCAATCAGGAGTTTGTAATGGCTTCCCATTGTATATTTGTTAGTACGTCTTCAAAATGTTAAAAATTGTGAACATTAACTTGTTTACGTGCATTGGAAACGATTGTGAATATTCTACCAACTTAGTTCAGTTTAACTTTAGTACGGTTGATTACAAAAGTTTATTGGTTGTGTTTGTGTGAAATCTATATCTCAATTATAGCACATGTTTACCTTGTTATTTCAACCTCGATTGTTCTTCGTACAATGTAGTTGGTGCCAAAAAATATTCCTGGATAAGAAGATAACATCAAATTTTATTCGAAGTCATTGGTAATTAGCACTCCTCAACAGATTAGTACTTTGAGGTTACATGTTTAAAAGGAATGACTACAGTGGTAATCTTCATTATTCCATTGGGTTTCAAAATATCACGAAACAGCAGTTCAGTGTTCCCTGTGGGTCAGTAACCGACTATTAAATGTCAGTGTTACAAAGTCATAAACTTAGACATTTCCAAGAAACCAGTATCGACGAACCAATTTAAGTAGTATCACTGCATTTCACATTACAAAAATTATCTTATAAATGAGATATTGATGACTGCTGAGGTTAAACTGCGGGGATCTATGTGAATGAAGTTGAATAAAATTAATAAAACATAGAGCTTGATATCGTCTTGGAAGCTTCCAAAGTTTGCACAAAGGGCAAAAACGAAATTAATTTCTTTCATAGAGATAACTATCAATGTATAAGTTCATACCACTGTACAATATTATTTCTTCGTAACATGAATTTGACAGTATTTATTCTTTATAAGCTGTTCCGAATATCAAATGTTAAAGGAAATAACGATCGCCAAACATTTAAATTCTTACTTTGGAAAAAAAGTGATTTCTCCAGATAATCATCAATATTATTTTTAAAATGTTTAACATTAAGATAGAATTTTGACAATTAGAAAACATGCGCTAACACCCCTAGTCATTAATCGAATTCATAAGATAAAAATATTCAATAAAACTGTTGAAAAAGATTCTTATTGTAGCTGTAATAAAATGAAAGTCATAAAGTATTTGATTGGTTATTTTCATAACATATAAATTCACGTGAATGCAAATAAATGTATGGAACTATTGAACACATTTTTGTCTCATGCATCGTCTCCTTCACACAAAAATCGATCGTGTTTAAACTACTTTGTCACTAAATTGTAAAATCTTTAATCTTAATATCTAAAGCAAATTTTCTAAACATTAAATAAAAAAAACAATGTTAATCAAATTAATTTTTCCATCATTGAGATCAAATACTAATCAAGAAGTCTGTCGTATTCATCATTATCGATCATCAAGCTCATTAACTATGGATTGGCTTGCTAAAGCAATATTTCAGATCACTAATTTAAAACGCGATACACCATTTAGTCTTTATTATTATGGTAAGCATATTATTTTCTATTAGTTGAAAGAGTAAATTTTGTGTGAGACTATACACCCGTTTCTCATAGTTCATTAAAAATGTAATATCTAACACTTTCCAACATTTTTTCCATTCATCTGGTGAGTTCGATATCGTTAAGGCATAATTTTGGCTGTAGGTTACAATTCGATTATCTAAAGCTACACATATATCTCCTGTGATCCGGCCACTCTAGCTCATCCCAATTTAAATAATAATAATAATAATTATTATTATTACTATTATTATTACTATAATTATTATTATTATAGTAACTAAAATGAATCTAGAAGCTTAAAATAAACACAAGGCTCTTATATGCAGAACCCACTCATTTAAGAAACGTAAAACTTTCAAAAAGGTTTGGTACCATATCGAACATTGAAAGATGAATGAATAACCTTACCTGTAAATTTTCCCTGCTTTTATTTGTGAGTTTGGTGACATTTGTTTGAAGTCAGTTTTTTTTTAATTATTGATGCAACTAGTAGGCAAACTAAAAACATGTTTTTGGCTACAGTGAAAAGATAGCATTTAGCTTATTTGTGCTTTGTTAAGGACGGAACGATAAAACTGACGATCCTGTTCAAGAAATCCTTCAAAACTAATAAAACGTTCATTAAGAAATCACTATTTTTGACTACGTTATGTTTGAATACAACAATCAGTTTGAATTTTTTATTTATGCAAATGAATTCATTGCTAATTTTTATAATAATACCATTAACTTATACGATTACGGAAATAATGGAAGTGGTCAAACTGATCGTTTCTTGATGTAATTCATACTAAAGTTTCCAAAGGAAAAACTAATAGTTCAGTTAGCTAAGTATCACTTTGTTATTTCTCATCGTAGAGATTTCTTTGATGTTTTTGCCTTAACGAAGAAGCACAGAGAAAATTACTGTGACCTAAAACAGCAAAAATGGTGTTTACAAACTGATTATTTATGTTTTTAATACTTCAACACACAATAATGAGTACAAAGGGATAGTAAAATATATATCTGCGACAGAAATTTATGTATGGGCTGATATACAATCCGGATACCTAAAACGTAGCAGGTGATTTCCATAGTAAGTCACTTTCTGAGCTTTTGACCCAGAAGCCTAATCTACAAGGCAGTAAAGCAAGGCTAGGAGATACGTTCCCGTGGCAGAGAGCGACAAGAAATCGGTCTGTGAGCCGTTCGTTTTCTCAGGACCTCGGAATTCTCGTGCACCAATGGTTTGGAATCAGGGTTTCCAAATCTCTTAAGTGGATCCCTTGTTCCCGTTAGTCCGGTTTGAGCGTCATACATTCATCTCTCGTATTCTGGATTTAGCAAACAAAACGCCCACCATGAGGAGATGGTGAGTAGGGCTTTAATGGTAGTGGCCATACACATGTGGTCATACTGAGGCGTTTTGAGGAGAGCGGACCATTCTCACTCTCGGCCATACCTAGGCTTCTGAAGCTTGCACAGCGAACTGATAGTTCTCAAGTTAGAGAGCATATGTAGTTCAGTGGCTTGCTTTACTTTCAACCATTAAGCTATTTATCCCAATCCACCTAAACATAACTTCATTTGAACAAACTAATGGCATCAGTAGCCCTCAAAGATGAAGTATAAAATTGATACATGCAGTTTTAATTGCCTGATCGGTGGATTGTTGTTCAAAGTTACGTTTGTTCATTATGACCTATGCTAGATACACTGAATAATCCTAACAAGTGGTCTTATGTAACCAATTCTGAATTATTTTTATTACCAGGACAATTTACCGTTCTATTTTGATCCCCTCTTTTAACCCATATTCTAACGTATGCTGCTTTAGGTTTATTTAGTAGACTGAAATGAGATATGATGCAATGTAGTGAATAGTTAACAATTAAGCAAATTAATTTAGTTGTGTTATTTATCTTTAATCTAATTAATTCAAACTAGAAGGTATGTTACAAAGTCCATGAACATCAATTTCATTTTGTGATGAAAAATGATTCAGTAAGTGATTGATTAAACGTCACAAGTGCAGCATGTGAGATTTGAAGTCATCCGAAACTTGAATGTAGTCTGAATTCCCTATGGGGAATTCGACAAATCATACCAATAGATGTTGAATATTCAGAAGTAATTATTCATAAAATTTTAGATGTTTGTTTTGAAGTGATAGGGTGTGGTAAACAGTAAAACTATCACGGTTTGTTAACTGGGTTAAATACAGTGATGCGTTTCTTGAATGATTTACATTAGTAATGTGTAAATTGCATGTAATGATTTTCGTAATGTATCTGTCACTACAACTTGGAGACTAGCAAAACATCTCAGATGAAAAAGCTGAGTCTTTTTCAGATTCTTAAAAAATTATTAAACAAAAAAAGTTACTTAGAAAAGAATAAGTTTTAAGATTTTGTCTATCTTGAAAGTTAAAGCTTATACATTTTTTGTTTGGTACTTATTTGTTTTTTTGTCGCAATATAATCACTCTCTGTTGAAAAGTCAATCAATATTAAATTGACATTTTTAAAATGCATTTTAAGATTTTTAGAATTTGACAGGTGAGGTAACATGACTTAAATGAAGTCACAATTTAAGTGCTATCGATTTCTCGACATGAAAAGTGAAAAAGTAAATACCTTTTCTTTCAATGATATGCTAATTTTGGAGTAATTTCACAGTTTTAACCATGAATTCATCTTAGCTAGATCACCTTTAAAAACCTGTAAGCACTGGAAGGCCGTTTCGGCCTAATATAGGACTCTCAAGCAGTGTGCATCCAGGACTCTGAACTCAGGGTTCGAACTCAGAACATTTGGTCTAGCTCGATAGTGCTTAGAATGTAGACTACTGAGCTTGTATTCAACGGCGTTAATGCCTAACTTTATTCAACCCACGACCATTCTCAATCCCACATCCATTACCTATGTTTGATATCCGTCTCACACTAGACATGAATTGAACTCTCCAAAAACAGTTCCAATGTTACATCTTGAGGTTAGTCACTGTTGAGTATTTTAATGTTATGAGGACTAGGGATTTTTGTAGGCTGTAGTATTTTCAAAGCTGAAATCACGAATCTGGAGTATTTAAATCAGATGAATCAATAGACTGATATTAACCGGATTTAGTATACTTTGAATGAGATTATTAGTGATGACTTATGATTTGTTGGACAAAAAGCGTTTTCTTCAACTTAAAACTTGTCACGTAGGTGCATGTATTTCCTGATATCCATAACTGTAAGGTGAGTAGACAATGGTGAAGAGCTTCGAAATAGGACAAAACTAGAGAAGTGCTCCTTGTTTTGTATTGATTACCGACATGAAATAGCAATTCACTCTTAATATTTACTCTGTTATAACTAATATAATAGTTTCAGGGTTATTGATTGTAACGAGTTGTTTTTCATTGTAGGTTTAGTGGACATTATAATATAGTTACAGAAATGTAAATAAGTAGCACGAAACTAAAATATAAAATAAAGAGAAATAGAAAAATTATACTTTTAAGATTGTAATATTATTAAACTGTAGATAAAAGTACTTGTTGTTATGCAGTGGTGTAACTATATCTACGAATTTAAATGCTATGTGTTCATTTTCCTTGAAAATAAACAGTAGTGTTATCAGTTTTTGATATAATTGGGTCCAGTTGATTTACCTTTTCTGTATTGCTCACTCGATAGGAGTAGTATAGTAAATACATACTAATTAAATGTTAAATTAAGCTTTTTTCCAAATGTTTTCACGACATTGCAAAGCAATTACTACACTTAATTAAATGTACTGCACTTAGGAAAATAATAAACCACTAGAATAAAAGTGCCAGAAGAAGAGAAAATACGTTGAAATATCATAGATTTATTTATTCGCAATGTGGAAGAGCGGTCACTTTTTAAGAACAATAATAGACAATAAGACTTTCGAGTAATAGATTTATACAAAGTTTAATGCTGATTATAATTTAAGTGAAAGTAATTTGGTCATTTTATAATTGAACATGTGATTAACAAGCGGTTTGTTTGATCTATCGTAATAATTATATCAATAGATAAGGTATCTATTTTTACGGAATATGAATTTCTAACAAATGATTAAATAAAAGTTGCATTTTGAGCACGAAAATTCCATTTTTAGTTTTCAGCCTAACAATGCAAAAAATGTGTTGTGTAGGAAACAAATCACAAATACTTTACTAAATGAATATCATGAATTTAATGATTATTTTCCTATGAATTAGTATAAACGTGCACATACTGATCTGTGATTTATATTTGAAGATTTCACAATCATCTGGGAGAAGTTAACTAATGAAAATAACTTTGGAATGAATAAATTCATACTAACTATATAATGAACTAATAACCTTTCTTTCTCTTATGATTATTTACAATGTAGCTTTTTCAAAGTTACAATCGAAAGCAATGACCCTCAAAGTCAATCATTTTTCAGAGTAAGACAATCACTCACTGATCTTATAGAATAATAATTCCTTTACAACGAAAAGTGATTTGATTTGTGAAATGCAGATCATTTGATCCCGACTGAGTAGTGTATTTAGGTTGTGCTAACAATTGGATTCAGGGTACTTTAGGTCTGATGATGTGTTTTACTATGAGCATACTCAGATGAAGCATCTTAACCCGGTTTTCTAGTGATATTTCAGATGATGTGGGTGCACGATGAAAGTATTTTCATATAATTAATGATAACAAGGGTTAGAAGATTATTTCAATGATTCTCAACCGAGTGTATAAACTCGCACAAATATCAGGGATTCTTAATTATTTACTAAGTTGACATTAAAGAGAGGTTCACTTTTATAAATGGTATGATTTTTTAAAATTTTGCTCATTGTAGCCTTTTCATTCACTGTTCTTTTTCTCAGTTATTTTCTAGTTTACATTATTTACTTCAGTAGAAAAGAAAAGAATTGGATACCGTTTAATCTGGAAATTTGAACTAAAATCTAGAAGTACACTATTAATTCAAATAAACCACGCATTGAATAATCATAAATTAAACAAAAAATGTAATTTAGAAAATATATAGTATGGTAAAACTAATATGCCAAAGAAACGCATAAATCCTTGCGAAAAAGCTTATTCAAAATAAAAAAATGAACGAAAAAATGAACGAAATGTTTCTTGAAAAAAATTATTACAAACCTAAACAGATAGCTACAGTCGATAAACATGAAAATAGGAAGGTAGGTGAAAATCACTTTCAGCCATTTTGGATGTTGCAAGGTTCACTGGACTAGATGGTTCAACTGCTGAGTTCAAATTGTCATTCTGTACAGCTCAATGAGTGCATGCATATCTGAGCATTTCGCTCATTTACTAAAATTTTACAACTGTGTTTAGCATCTCTTTCCTATATCTTGTTTTACAAGTCTATTGGGCAAGTTAATAATATTTTATATCTCTCTTCTATATGTTATTTTCATTTTTCTTGCAATTTGATGATTGCATAACTTTCAATTTTTGATTAACTAAATCTGAAATGCTATAAAATAGCATGCACCATGAAAATACTTTAAGAAACGATTTTAATGTCAGTCACTTAAGATTCCCAATATCTCTTTTTATCTGTATAACGTTTTCTTTTTTTTCCGAAAATTCCCAGTTGATAACCAATTCCTGCAAATTACAACAAAATCATGTTTGAAAAAAATGGTCAGATACTTTGGTAATAATGGTCAAATTTGTAGAATATACGCTATTCCTCATCCATATTCTGATTCGAAACCTCTGAATTCATTTTTCAGTTTTTGTAGAGCTGATGAATTGCCAAATATTTTAACGCAACCCTCTATTATTGAACATAAAACATCTGATGAAACATGGTTACAAACTCCATGTAAATTATGTGAAAAATCCAAATGGTCGGGTGAAAGATACACTTGTTTATTTTGTTCAAACATAGTCCTTTGTAAAGAATGCTTTTTCACAGGTTATCATAAAGAACATCCTATATTATGTACTCGTAATAACAAATTATATTCACAGAAATTATTACAAGTTTCACGTTTAGCTGTAGCAACAGTGCCATGGAGGGATGCATTACCGAAAGTCAATAGAGATCCGAAACCGATGATCGAATAAGATAAACAATAAACGCATTAATCAGTATGATACAAATTGAAGGAAATAATTATTCAAAACAAAAGATAAAGATCCAAATGATAAACAACAAAACATTCGGTTAACACTTTAAAAAAGTCCGTTCGAAAAGATATTTTGAGATAACTTTATCGGTTTTTATTTATTCTGCTTACAGTAACCACAGTTTTTATGAGTGAATAATTTTTAAAAAAAAGTGTTTCATTGAAATAAAACATGTTATTAAATAAGATATTTTCCACTTTATTGAATAGATATTTACTCTGTTTATATTTCGATAATGGCTGTAAAAGAGTGGAATACAGATTATTTAATTAAAATTCTATAATGTGAAGGGAAACTTAATAGATAAGTTACACGAAAAAGTTAATCTTCCAGTGCTGGTTTGTGTGGCTGCCTAATCGACCTCTTCAGCTGATGTGAATTGTATAGCCAAGTTTGAATCAATTAAATAGACCCTTTTGAAGTAGCTGATTTTATAGTATTATTGAGTAAAAATTATAGTCATAATAATTATAGTCGCAGTAAATTGTAGTTGAAGTAAATTGGACTGTTTTAGAAAATGAAATCTGTGTAATAGGTAAACACTAATAAATCCAAACGAAATAGCTGGGGCGTGACTCTATCAATCTGAAAGACACTAACACATGAAACTGAGTTGTCCAACCTTCTACGAAATCCAGTTACATTTTGAGGAGCAATTCTATTTGTATTATCCATTGGTTATAAACGATTAATCATATGATACTGTATATTTACATTGATTCTGAAAATTACTAAGTAGTTAATGTCAAATACAACTCAGTTTAATGTATACAGATTGTCGTAAATCACGAAATTTGACGATCTGGGAAGGAAAGTCAGTGAATTGTTTCAGCGAAGAAATGTCAAATTCTACACAAAAGCAATAGAGAAACTGTCCAAAGGTAAAACATATGTCGAAATATAGATTGTTTACAGTCTAATTATGTTACTTACAATCGATTTACAGCTCCTATTTTGAAATATATGGCCATCCCAAAACAATAGTTCTAACACTACTTTGTTAGCAAACCAGCTACAACAAAAACATTTTAGGCCATAATCAGTTGAAGGCCTAGCAGTGAACATAGCACCAACCTGGAAGTGACAGATATCCTAAATACCCGTCTCAACACACCATCGAACCAAGAAAGAACATTTGGATGACTCCTTTCCACTCAAGTGTTAGCTGATGATCTGAAAAGCATTCATCCCACCCCTATATCTGGAGCAGACATATACAGCAAATCTCGTTGTTTTACGTTGTTATTACGGATAACCATACCACAGAGTGTCCATTAATGTCCGTTCAGTTCAAATATGAAACAGACTGCTTCCATTTTATGTTACACTCATTAATAAATATCACTTCGACCTCACAAATTACTCTTTACGAAATACCGAATTGAACTATACATGGTTTATTCAACTCAATAGCTGAGTATACTAAACTATTCGGATATGCTTACGTGATACATATAATCAAATATCAACGTGCTCCCCACATGATACTGATACAGGTACACTCTTGTATAAAGTTTCTGGCAACTAAAAGGTATCAACCAAAAATAACAATCCGAAATCTCTACTTTTTGCTAAATAGGGCTTTTTCTGTGAAAATAATATATCGAAAGTAGATATAATATCGTTTTCTCAAGAGAGTTCCCAGTTTTATTTGGACACACCCAACAGAAATGTTTTAGCTCGGTTACTATGGCTTTTAAGAGCTCGGTAGAGAAACCGTTTACCCATGATCTATTGGCCCTTGTGATGCTAAGGTAGCTCTTGTATATGCCCCATAGTTTTGAAACAGAGTTCAGAAGCCGTCGTTTCACCTTAAAGTCAGGTATTTGGGCGTTCAGTGAAGAAATACTAACATGAAACTGAATGATAACATGCTACACTCTCCATAGTATTTAGATCAAAACAAAAGAATAATTTTGCCTGCTACAGATCAGTCGCATTACTACCAATACTATCGAAGGTAATGGAAGGACTGTTGAATACGAAAATGAGGCAGTATATGGATAAAAACAACATCATCCCTGAAGCTTAACACGGGTTTCTGAAAGGCAGACCATGCTCATCCAGTCTTCTCATAGCATGAGACAGCTAGGCACCCTACCGAGACCAAAAGATGCTGGTCCATATAATACTCGTTGACTTCACAAATGCCTTCGTCACAGTATCCACGCACTCCTAATTGCGAAGGTTGTGCGAATGGGCTGCACTGGTACACTTCTGTCTTGGCTCAGAAACTACTTGCAGTAGAGAAGGTTTCGTACCAGACAGACAGACAGACAAACAAATACAACGCAGAACTTCGTACAGTTCAGCACAGAGACGTAACTGACAGTTCAAATCCAAGAGTGATAGCGATAGTAGAATTATTAGCAGTAATGGAGAAGATTAGGGAGCGAAGATATGATCCGAAAAGTATAATTCAGTGAGATAAATTTAGAAGGAGAAATATGGTGATTATGAGGAATTCAGAAGGTTAGAATTAAAAAGCACACAAAGAGTGGATGCACCTGCGCCATTGCAGACGATTCTGAGCCATGTCGTTCAAGGTCTCTAACCATTGGTCACTTTCGTGTCAGGTTTAGTACCATAATAAATATAGTGCGTGAGAACTGGAGAGTTTCAACTTCAGGAGTTTCACAACGGAACATCTCAAGACCATTCCTCTTCCCGATACTTACCAATAACTTGAGTGGTTGGATCAGATCATTGGCACTAATCTATGCAGATGATCCAAAGATCTGTAGGTCCATAAGAAGTGGAGAGGATTCATTTCAGCTTCAAAATGACTTTACAACAGTAGAGGAACGGGCAGTGACAAACAGTTTGAAATTCAACTAGTCGAAATATCATATTATCAACATTCTGCTCAACGTGACACAAAGGATTAACAGTCTCAATAGACATCTATTTCCAGTGTCATCTCAGAGCGCAATCTCGGTCCAAAAACCATACAACACCTAAACACTAATTTGAACTATTAAGGGTAGAGAGCCGAGACTAACGCAACTCTTCACTTTATACGAACACAAGTTGGTGCAATCACCTCGGAAATTTTCTTAACGTTGTTTAAGACATACGCGTGGCCACAACTTCAGCTTAACAACTTCGTCGCACCTCCTCTGCTTGAAAGAGACATGAATCTAAAAAAATTAGTCCCTTTTATAAATTTTGATCTAAAAGTGAGGAGACGTAACTGATGTAAAAATGTGATGACATAAACCTGTGGGATCGAGTGCAGAGACGAGTAACGAAATGGATGACAGAGTTGAAGAATAAACCTTGCGAAGATAAACTCAAGCATTTGGATTATTCCCTCTGAGTTACAGGAGGGTCACATATGGTTTGATAAAGAAACTCCAGATCATCTTATCGTGAGTATTCAACCTAAGCATCACAACCACGTCTATCGACGAGATCCTCGAAAAATCGCGCTTGAAAGAATGAACACCTGAGTTTGTGCACATTTTTCTCGTATAGAATTGTTTCAGCTAGACAACCTAAGGGAAAAACTTGATAAACTCTCATTCACACACAGATTATCATCTCTCCCGTGAACCAGCTCTGCCTGATGCACGTCCCAAAACTGCTCGTAGTTATTGTTTTCATTTCTTCTGATTAGTAACTTATTCTTTCTCGTTCATTATTTTCTTTCCCTTCTCTTGTTTGCATTTCAGTTATTTGCACAATCTTTACTATCAGTGAGTCATCTTTACGATCTACTTATTCAGTCTTCTTATTGGCAATAGGCTTTTCTCCTTATTATTCTACTCATTAACTTTACCTGGAGACCCTCTGCCAGGCTCACTTTCGGTTAAATTAGGGCGGTCCGGCATGGTCTTGATGAACTCGCCCCATAGAAAACTAACTCGTTAAAAGGACACTAACCAAAGTACAAAGGGCACTGATAGGATGGGAATCTCATGGACCAAGGATCATTAAAGCATCATTGACAACAAACAAAGAGGACATTACATTGAAAGTCATACAATGCTATGCACTTACCAACGACTACAATGATGACGTTAGAGATCAATTACACAAAAGGCTTCAGTAACTCGTCGACAGGTGCTCACCAAAGGATTTGAAAAATTCTGGAAAATTCATTCTCTACTTATTATGTATATTTTCTTCTTGTTATCCTTTACATTGTAATCAACTGATCTCCGACCTGTTTACGTGATAGTTTCTGGTATCTTCAATCCCAGAGACAAACCCACTGATTCAAACAGCATGACATAAAATTTAGTGGATAAATACCAGTTGGTTAGAGTTAGTCCGGTCGAACAGCTTGATATTCACATTAATATTTGCGTAACGAGGACATAAGAACTACGCCTTGTGCTGGCCGTTTTATCTTAAGTTTCTAATCGTCAAATCCTCTTTTGAATATGTCAATGAGATGTCGTGACACCACGTTTACGTCTAACAAGTTTCAGGAACTGACGAATTAATTTGAGAACGATTATTCCATTGTTATTTCTTTCATCGTTAACTTTAGTACTCGTCTGCTTCGTTCTCTTAGTTACGCTGATGCAGTAAGAAGTAAGAGAGAGGATAGACCACGTCCAAAGATTTTGTGATTATTCCATTCGCAAAATGACATCACCTTTCAATCTATGATAGAAGAGAGCGAGGAGTACTAAATACTTAGGCTACTTTATGAGTGAAAAATCCCGAAATTCTGGTAAAGCTTATGAATCAGCCCTCTGTAATACCTCCAAGACAACAAGTAAACTATCAAATAGAGGTTAGCGGCCTGAAATCAATTTGTCAGTTTGGAACTCACGAAGATTCTGAATACTGTCCTGAACATACTAGTGTACGTGTTGGCAAATTTCTCTCTTAAAGTTCATGAGGTTCTGAACCTGTTAGTTGCGATAGAGCGTTAGCCAGCCATGGTCTGTAACTCATAGGCTACTAACGCCTCAACATCGTTTTCCATTAGATTACGAGCATCGCTTCCTTTCCAACTCTGTACCTATTTGTCTCTGTATCCTTAATGTACATGTAGACGTGCTTAGCCGCCATGCATTAGATCAGCTAATTAAAACTGCTTGCAATACACTCAAGTTCAAATCCATCATTATTTCTCGCCATATATATGCATCATCAGTATAAAGTAGTTTCGACATCTTAACGATGTTTGGGAAGGCATTCACACATAATAGAAAAAGTAAGAAACCTAGAACACAGAGCCTTGCAGTATTGCATCAAGTACTGGTTTCTAGGGACAGCAATCAGAGTTTATTCTTAAATTCTGTCTAGGTCACAACAGGAAATCCCTGGTCCATGTTCATCACTTCCTAGAGTTTCCGGTTTTAAGATGAGTCTGTTGTTCGGCAGCTTATCAAATGCTATCTAGCGACTCTGAGTCGTGTGCCTCTGCCTCGATAGATTTTATGATTAGGCTGTTTTTTGTACCTAACGTCCAAACGGTTTAGTCTGTTGACCCTTGAAAGTAAGAAACCAAGAATTTGGATTTCACTATCACATACTTCAATATCCTTCAATAAAAATAATATCAGGGTTTTCTGCGACCACCAAATTTTTGAGAACCACAAAATTATTTACTAAATCGTGAACATTTGTTTAGCTCACCCCCAGTTCGATGCAATATTTTCACATATCGATCAGAGTGATTCGACGATAGTTTGGATCCGAACTTAATTAATATATAAATCTTAAAGCATAACGATTATTTCACCATTTTAACAGCATCTTTTTATTTAGTCTTCTGCGTCCGATTTCCTAATACTATTGACGAGATGGAGGTCAGCAGGGATATATAGTGGATCCAATCAGTTTAAATGAATTTTTCAACATTACGTATCTTAACCAGGAAGAGGCAAAAGTAACTTTTAGTAGGCTGCTCGCTTGAGTACTTCTGGAATCCGCTCTTTGTCCGATTCTGTAAAGCTTATCAAAGCTAACTCCTGCTGCTCTTTTCGTGAGTAGCTTGCTTACTAGGGACTTACTGTGGCATAGGTAATGTCTGAGCCTGGCATTTGGTTCCCCTTCAGAATATTCTTCTAACTTGTGAAAAATGACTGAACTATCTGAGAGGCTAGTCTCATTGAACTTTCAGGCCTTTTTTTCTAAACTCCTCTCATTTCCTCAGTTCCACTTGGTAACAGATACTCTGGCTTAACTTCCTTCATTTCATAAGTTCTACTGTTACCAGATTTTACTTTTTTATCAGTCGGATCTTCTACAGAGTACAGGCTTTGATCCTGTATAGTCTCAGTCGTTTGTTATGGGTTTCTGTAGAAATATTCATCGAGTGGAGTATTATCTGCTTTTTTTATCATTTACAAGCTGTTTACCTTTTCTCGTCAACTTCCCCGTGCCTACCTTTTAATCCACCAAGTTATGACAGTCAAACGGCAAGGTTTAGAATACTTTGAAAGGCGGCGTTCTTCACACAGTCAATGTGGTAATGGATACCTCGTATGTGCAGAATGCGTCAGCCTAGTGCATACGTTGTGACAGCCCTTGCAGCATTTGTAAAACTTCATTCTTAGCTCTTAGGGAAGAAGCATGTAGGTCTACTTTGGCGATGTATCTTCCGTGCCATTTAAACTATTGTGCGAGCTCACATAGTAGATAAAAACCCCATCCATCACAAAAAATGAAGTAAGCTAAAAGATTTGGTATGTAGAAAGTGTTTCAGAAGTTAAAAATGAAAAACCAAAATATTTATTCATCAAGTTAAAACACCATAGCATTTTTTGAATAGTGCTCAGATGACTAGAAAACATACATTCACACCGAAACAGCAAAATCTAGCGCAAAGAAATAAAATTATCTATACTAGCTCGTGAGAAAGGCACTGAAGATTTTAAAGCCACGTTGCATGCCTTGACAATTATTTGTAATTAAGCGTTACAATCCAAAGTGAGTAGTTACCGGTGCTGTTGGTACTTTGAGTCATCTGACGTATTACTTCATATTCGGTATGCATAAAATTCACCAGCTATTTCGTATGCTTATTTACTTATAATGCTAATGAAAGCCGTTACTTTCCTGCCAGGCTAAAAGATTTAACTGTATGATAGCTTTTAATCCAGAGTAAGAAGTGGCTGCTGCAAAAACCGATATATTGACGTACGTCCTCAAGAAAATTGCTGCCTAGTCCCGCTACAATATGAATTCTCTCAGTAGATTCGTAAAAGATCTTTAAATGTCGGACAGAAACTCAAATACATGTATCGGGTATCTAGGCTCCAAGACGAGTATATAAGCCACATAGAAACACCTTCACGCACATTTATAAGTACTTACGAGTAGTTTTCATTACCGCTATCGATAATTTCTATATTCATCTAATTTTTTAATCTTTTTGGTAATTGTAGAGTCCTAAACAAAGGATATACTTTGTCCCTGTACAGAGTCTGATTCCACTAGCGTTCAATTTAGACACAAAGTTCGCTGGCTAACTTTGTAAAAAACGATTTCAGAGTCGAGTAACTGTCAAAAGTATCCAATCACGGGTGCCAACGTATTCGTTGTAGTATTGGCGTCAACCGTAATTGAACTCAGCAAGTCCCTTTTCAAAAGTCAATGTTAAGTGCTAAGCTGCGATGTAAGTTAATCTTCATACTAAATTTTTAACTTGCAGTTCTACGTGGATTGGCTCCTGTCAGCTTTGATGACTCAATTCTACAATGTTCTACGTTCCAAAATAAGTATGAAGTACCAAAAAGCTTCCAGTCAGGTTTCATTACCTCAGAAAAGCCATATTCTCAACATTTTCCGCACGTAACCTTCTTACTCATTTCTTCATATTCCTAGTTACACGAAGCATATCTCAACAGATTTCCATCCACTGTGGTTAATCCTGGTGTTACCCAATTAGTCTCTTGTAAGGGCTCTAATTTTGTTTGTCGTAACAAGCCCATAGAGACAAAAAATCAAAGTTGTCAGACTGAAGTACTTGATACCGAACCAAACTTCAAAATTTTATCTACAACAGTAGATCAAATCTTCCACAAGTTAAACTGTGTGAGTGTTATTGGTATCATCAGATGTCTTATTTTTGTTCTTTGTATTATTCTAGTCAGCATACATGCAGCCTTTTGGCACGCGAATTTATTAATCTGTTTGTAGTGTTCAAAAACTAACGTAGTCTCATTTAAGCTTTCTTGCACGCAGTTAAATTTTTCTTTTAAATAAATTGCATGAATGAACAATTGCATTTCGTGAATGTTTACAACTGTCTAAACAAGTCCAGCGATTAGTTAGCACATCTTATTTTAACTACATCATTTTTTAGATCACATTTTTACAACTGCCGTTGAAGTTCATTTCAATATGCACCATCAACGTTATTAATATATTGATCCTGTCATATACAATGGTTGTAAAATTCTCTTTTACAATTGATAATCAATTGTCTTGTATTTAAATTGTATCTGTTCATTCCATACTCCAACTTATAAATGGATGGCTTATCGGACCTGATGACTAACCATCCTACTGTTCACCAGTGCCAGAAAGTTCATAGTAGTGTAAGGGCAAACAGGTGGAATGGTTTATGGTTGAGGGCTAAACTTTCCACCACTAAGTTACAGATTGGGACATTCTTCATCTTCGATTTCCTTAAGTTGGTTATGTTGTTAGTTCTCAAAAAATGTAACGATGGCTCCAATATTATGTGACAGTGGCCAACTTCATTCCCTTGTGGCCAATTCTGATCCAATTTATGCTACAAGACTAGTATGAATTTGTACTCATGAACGGACTTTCAACTGTTAAAATTCAAAAATCTAGCCCTGGCTTACATATAGTGATAAAATTTGAAATCAAATCACTAACTAAATGAACAGGATTTTTTCTATTATGAGTTAATCTACCTCTGCATAATGTCGACACAAGACGAACGTGATTTGTCAGGGGATTAGCGGAAATCACTTTGCAGGTTACTCACTCTCCGGTCAACTAAGACTTAATAGCAGGCCTATTATTGGGTACTACACCAAAACTGATCTTCGAAATCCATTATCAAGATATTTATATGATGTTTCCGGATCACTCACAGAAGATTAGGTTGCAAACTGTTGATACTTAAGCGTCTAAATAACTAATGATACCTTCTAAGAATGGCTTGTCTTATATTATCTATATAACTGTGCAGTAAAACTACTGTAGATAGACAAACGATTTACGCTACAATGATTCTGATTATTTACACATGTGGTTTTATTCTCAAAGTACCTGTTTTGTTGAAAATCATTGATTATTCTAATAAATCGTTTCAATATATCATTTGTCCACGATTTCACTGACGGTATTCAGTTCCGCATCTAATCGATTCTTGTCTTTGTTTCTATACAGCATGCACTGAAATCTATTTCAGAAAGCAAGATAAAACGCTTCCCCAAATTGTGGTTGGATTTGGGTGAATTAAATTATTCACCAGCGCAGTATAATCTAGGTGTTTGGTATGAAATACAGGCATCTAAGTGTATATCACGTCAAGATGATTTAAAGCGACATTATAACAAACAAGCAATTCATTGGTACAGTTGTGCTGTTCGAAAAGATTCCCATCCACTGGCTGCCTACAATTTAGCTTGTCTTATTTTGGATTCTGAAGAGCCCACAATCCATTCAAACTCATCAGATAAGTCCTCCACATTTACAGTCACATATCTAATGAAACTTGCTGCTGATGCTAACGTCAAGCAGGTTAGTCCCTTTTTTGATCAAAAGCTTATAAATTCAGAGTAAGGATTCGCTGTTACAACAAGTACTTAATTGTCATGATCCTAGTTTATAAATCTCATCAGTCTAAAATAAATTTTTCCCTAAAATTACTTCAGCATAAGGTAGTTATTTCGTTCGTGGCCATATGTGTCTTCCAAAAAGGCATTCTCCAATTAAATCAAGTAATTTATCTTAAGATAAATCAACTTACGTTAATTGATATTTGATATGTGCGTCATCTCCCTCAACCAATGATGGACAGCTGATCTAAATATTTATTTTCTCCGTGTTGAATCATTCTCTGCAGTTAATTTTTACTTATTCCAAAGATACTGGATTTATGAAATATGAGAAGGCAATAATTTGAGCTTAATATTTGAAACAGCAATCTTGAATTACATTTTTAACTCATCTATGTAAAAAATGTATTATTATCAAAAGAAAAGGATCGTCGTCTTAGGTTTTAGGTATGCATAATTTAATCTTCCGTCGTTGTGTGCACATGTTCAGCTATACCAACGCCTATTAATAAAAATGCAGCAGAGAATTACAGCGTTTGGATTTTTTGTCTCTTGATTTGGACCATCAGTTGGTCGATGAGGGAAGATATTTTGCTACTCTAGATTTCGATTTGTGTGACTACATGGTCTAGATCCTATTGGATATGTAGTTCCGTTTTTCAATGAATCAGAGTAAATCGTTTGACAATTTTCTTCTGTTAGAAATTCAGGTTTGGATTTTCACCAGTGTAAACCACATTCACTTGTCAACCATCAGAACTGAATTACATTATAGATCCGCTAGAAAATGTTTTATTTAAAGGGTTTGCTGGTCCCTATGCTCATTTTGATAGATTCTACTTATTTCTACAAAGTTAAGAGAGAATTAATTTTACCTTTATTCAGGCAAAGAAATACTTATCGGAACAATGTATTACAGAGAAATAGTTGGTTGGTCGGTCGGTTGAAATTCTTTTTGTCCCATAGTTATTTTTATCCCGAAAGCATTTAATAAGAAAAACTGCATTTCATGACAACCTTTCAATGATAGTCTTTTTACTTCAGTATTTTTCATATACCTACCTTACTATTATTTCGAAATGTCAATAAAATATAATTAGTGAAGAAAGTGTCTTTTTTTGTTGGATGTTTTGTGCTTAATCAAAATATACGTAAAACACAATGGGTCATGAAGCCTTAGTAGTATTATTATTATTTACCACTGCCACTGCTTTTCTAGGCCAGTCTATTTAGCACTATAATAATTTGAAAAGCCATTTTTGACTACTTCAGTTATTACGGTCAGCAGTATAAATGCGTTTGAGATTTAACTGATTGGTAATGTGTGGATGGATAGTATTAACAGAAATCCGATATTTCGAAAAAAGGAAGTATTAAATCTAAGGTTTATTGGCGTTCTGACTTTGCACGCACTCTTCATAACTGACAGTCTGGACTACCGATCCTTACATTTATTCACCAAGCTAAATATACGTCTTTATTTTTTCGTCTCTATTCTCGTAGAGATTGTCTAGTTAGATAACTATCTATAGTCTGACCAGTATGCTAGCTTCTGTAACAATACTTGAGCAATTTGCAATGCAATTATATACGATTATCGCAGACATAAAGTCGTTTTGACAGATGTATGCTCAACTCTTCCATCGTCAAACACCAAGGTAGTTCTCTTGGCAGTGACAATATTCTTGGCGATATTTTTCTTATTATACTTCAAATAAAGATGTTATGTACGATTTAACGATACTAACCGACATTCCAAGCAATATCATACTGGTATATGATGTTGCATACTAGGTGGTTTCTCAACACAGTTTATTGTCTATACTTAAAATAAATATTTGGCTTTGGTAATGTTTGTAATTCTGTGGTCCGACTGGCAGTTACTTAGTTATTTCAGCTTAAATTTAAAATTTCTGTGAGTATAATTGAAATCAGTATCAAGTTCGACGATACGAACCAGTCCAAACTATGTAGCGATTTAAAATTGCAAGTTCATCAGTTTAAGCAATGATCTATATTTCTGAAGTGATAAGAGAACTGGTTTAATCTATTCAATGATGGTATATATTTTTGTTGAAATGAAAAGACCAATATGATTAATATTATGAGTTTAGAAAAGACGAAACATCCCAGTGAAATAGAAATGTATAATAAATTCAAGGAAAATAAAAAGCAAATTGAACATAATGTGGATTTCAGTCATGAATGTCAAGTAACATTAGTAGTGTAAGTGTTTATCTGATGAAGAAAAAAATACAATAGATGAGTTAATAGTTACAATGTACCCTTTACACAGAACTCGTTTCCGTTCACTGGGATTAGAAAAAAAAGACCACTAAAAAGGTATTACAAAATAGTACAATGGGTTGACCATTAATATGTAAATAAAGTTATCACAGTTCCAGAAAGGTAAAAATATCAACATTTCCTGGTAATTATAAGATAAATAGACTGATTATCTTACTTAAACTCAGAAATTAATAAACATGATACCGACTAGTGAGTTAGCATTTAAGTTAAAAAAAAAATAGCCTGATGGTGATAATTATTAAGGTACAGATTTAGTTTGAGTATCTGGACAATTCATCGCTGTATTTTCAGGACTCTTCATATTCATACTTGTTTGAATATTATTTTCCAAGTTAGATGATGGGTCTTCTAGTAGTTCTATGCCCTGTTGTACTTGTGCCAATGTCTGCTGCATCTACGATTTAACGGAAAAGTATAGGTATAAAAAAGGTTGATAGATTAATTATGTAACTGTTTATTCAACAGTTATATAACTGATTTACGATAAGTAAGATAAATTTACCACCGTCATTATATATATATATATATATATATATATATATATATATATAATTGATGCAATATTAATATTTTCTCACCTGGGTAAGTGTTTTAGATAACAGTTGTATTAGGTCCCTCATTACGTTTAATCGTGTTCTTGCCCATTCAGGTGATTTAGAAGTTAAATGATCCTTGTAAACTGGGATGGATCCTCGATCTCCTTGAGTTGTGAATGGCGATGTCCCAAACAAATCCTGATAATGATTTCGATCACGGGTTGCTGGTGGGAATTGTTCCGCTAGTTTTTCTAAAACTACCAGCCGATTATATACCATTGATAAGAATAAACAAAGTAATAAACCTCTGTAAAATTGAAAGTACAACAAACAAAAAATATCAATGTGTGTGTGCTTTCATAAAATTAATAGTATGGAAACTGTGTACATCACTATTTATTGATGAAGTTAACATGACATTGAAAGAAGTCTAGCTACACATTGTAGAATCAAAATGAAGTGAAGCATAAATATTCGCACTACCTTATGCAGTTCTAGTAATAAAATACTCTGTGCACAGATGTACGGCCGTCAACACCTCGTATAGTATAGGCTGCTAACTAAGATTAACTAATCTACTCTGTCCCGTGCTCTCCTTTTCACTTGTTCCCAAGTACTACTCATTCTTTTGATGTTAGCTTCCGGTTACCTGCAAAATGTGTTCATTGGTTCGCCTCTTTTTCCTTTAACATGAGGATCCCAGGTTGGCGCTTCCTTTGTGATGCGGTTTGATGATTTCCGCGATGAGTGGCGTATCCGCCTCAAGCGTCCTTTGCTAACTCCCTCCTCATTCAGTAGGTGGTTTGTTTCTTGCCACAGTAGGTTGTTGCTGATGGTGTCTAGTCAACGGACCAGGAGTATGATGCGTGGGCGAATATTTACAAATACCTATACTTCTTTGATAATGGTTGTGATAGCCCTCCAAGTTTCAGCTCCGTACAATAAAACTGTCTAAAGATTTGTTTTTTTTAGTGTAGGATGACAGTTGTTTTGAGTTCTAGATCAATGCTTAGGAATCTGACCTGTTGATCTCGAAGTTGGTTGTCTGTTTAGTCTCTCATTCGGTTCAGCGACACTGTCGGGAACCTTTTCTGCCGCTGATAGTAGTGTGATGCCCCTAGTTCTCACGCTTGCTCACTTATCCTTTCTTTGGTATTTTGATGAAGTTTACTTCTTCCGAGTCTGTTGGCACTTGTTCTTCCTCCCAAATCTTTGTGAAGAGAATGCGGATTCGTTGTGCAGTTACTCACATGTCTGACTTCAGTGCTTCAACCAGTGTTGTTGCTGCTTTGCCACTTGATTTCTTCGATTGTTAGTAGGATGATCTTATCATTATTATTAACTTTCCATCCAAAGCTCAATTTCTTTAAAACTATCAAATCCAACCTCGGTACTGATACCTATAAAAGTAGGAGTTACTTGATTTCATATTTCGATCATCAGTGTCTCTGAAGCATTGCTCGTATAACCTGGGATGACCGAGTAACCAATTCTGTCGTTAGGAAATGGGTCCTAGGTAAGGATGGCAGAGAAATAGATGAAGTATAGAAGCTTCATCAGTTGAGGTGGCTGGGACATGTGCTACGTATGCCCAACCACCGACTGCCTCATCGAGCTATGTTTTTTGATGTAGGAATAGGTTGAAAGAAAGCTAGGGGTGCCCGAACCAAAACATGGCACAAATCCATGAAGTCACTGACAAGTGGACTGAATCATGTTGGTAGCCTTGTTGCCAAACTAAAGTAGATGCGGCCGGGTTAGAGCCTGCAACTTACCGCTTAAGAAATAAACATTTCAATCGATAGTCTACTGCTCGAATCATTAGCTTATAAATCATTCAGGTATTTTTCTGATATTTCAAAACCAATAAGAGAAACAAAATAATAAACCTCTTTCTCTGATCAATAATGTTAAACTTTTAAAATGAGTTTTAGTCAAAAAAAAAATTACTTGTGCAAAAGACTACTTACATAATAACTAATAATAACCAAGCGCGATCTGGACGCATAAATAAATAAGTCATATCACCAGATCCAAATAATGTAGTTTTATTTTGTTTTTTAATATTTGTATTATCATTTATACAATTGTTAAATGCAGATGGTTTTATTCGATCAGAATATCGTGATACTGGAACATTATTACTATTTACATTCCCTGTATACGATGCATCAGCTTTATTAAGTTTACGATTATTTTGATTACTATTAACATTTTGAATTAACGTTGCATTATTTTGATTATTCGATGGATTCAACGAAGGAGTAATATTGTTTAAACATCCTCTCTGTTGTGTTAACCAACCACCAGTTAAACGTTCTTCCAAGGATAAATTTGTAGCAAATTCTTTTAATTGAACAGTTATTGTATCAAAGAAATCGGAAAGACCAGAATGACAAGTGTTTTCTATAATACTCTTTGCTCCAAAAAAAACTGGTTTCTCATATATAACTTGCGAACTAACATGTAATTGGCTAGTTGTACGATTTACACGTAATAAACAATAACGACTAACTACATAGAAACAATTACTTAGTGGAACAGCATGATTTGTGACTTTAGCATCAATTATATATCTTTTCCCAGGTATGGATTCACCTAAGAGAAGAGTCTGAAATTCAAAGAAAAAAAGTCAGTGGTGAATAATTAACTTTCTCATTAATTTATTTAAAGTGGAATAAAATTAAAAAAACACTAATTGAATTATGAAGGAAAGAAAGGAATAATAAACACTAACGACATACATTTTTTTTCACAATATTTCTGGTTACCGATAAAAACGACTGTGGCTTAAGGTTGCGCATATAGAGAAAATTCAAGAGTAGTCGCAAAAGAAAACCACTCACTTCACTCTAGACCTCTGGATATTATCTTAGATCCATCGCGCAGAAGTTTATTACGTCACCATTAAAGGAATGAATGCGAAGCATTAAGCCATTATAAACCATTACAATTTGTATCTATTTATTTGAACATATAAGAATTGGTACAAATAGAGATCAAAATATATACCCGCCACAAGAATAATTGGATTTGTGTGTGGACTGGGATATTGGTCGGGTGCCCAAACCGAAGCAGATGGTGTTCTTAGGAGGTGAACCTCCAAGCATTTGACTCATTAGTCTAATCCACAAGGCAGTGGGGCAATGTTGAGAGATGCAATCCCATAATAACAAGTGACCAAAATAGGTTCATTTTCCATTTATTCCTCTGCTTTAAACGTCGTACGTCCGATTTTCGTTTTCTCGATTCCATAAACATACATCACGAGAGGCATTAGAGAGGACTTTCTTGGCAGTGGCAATATACGCGTAGCTATGTGAAAGCCTTTTGAGAGGGAGAGCGGACTCCACTCTCGACCCTACCATGGCATTTCGTGCAACACAAAAATAGGAGTAGTAAACAAGCAATAAATGCTCCTCAAATGGATTTAATATTTTTCAACGAAACAACTAATGTGATAGTCTCAGCTATACAATAAAAAAGAAGCCATCACTTTATTCTCTAAAAGTTTATATAGCCTAATTATAACTAACATAAGCATTTATTCGATAAAGCTCATGAACTAACAGAGAATTAATCCACCTAGAAACAAGTTTAATCATGAACATCTGTGTCTATTTTCAGATAGAATAAAAACCATATATCCTAGCAGATATAATATAAACGTTTTATTTAACAAGCAAAAACATGTACAAAACTTAGGAAATATTCCCTTACTAGCACTACTACTAGTAAGTAGCATGATATTTATTTCTGTAAAAATACTGAATCACGCATGATGTTCGTCTAGCTAAACTCAGGATTCTCGGAAGGGACTACATAATACTTAAAAAAGAGGAATCAATCGTCACATCATTTGCTTCATTATAATTAAATAATGCGTCAAAAGAGTTCCGAGAGTATAATACCTAAGTAGAAAAATATCAAAATTAGGGAGGAACGAATAAATGAACATTTTCGATTTTGCATGAGTTAATTAGTTTTACTTTTAAAAATTTATCAGAACTTGAAAAAATAAATATAAACTGTAAAATTATTACCTGTTGTTCTACTGCAGTGCATGTTCTTGGGCCAAGTTTTTGCTTTAATGTCAATGTATAGGTAATAGTTCGTTCAATTTTGCTAGAAGTGTCAAACTGATCTAAATACTCTGCAGGACTAGACCACTTGAATACTGGCCAAGGAGATTGAATCATGCCGAATGTACCACGATGTTCGCTGAATCGTGAGAAGAATTCGGAATCAGTAAAAATACACTGAAACAATGAGTTAACATTCAGTGGGATTTCAGTATTTGCATACACTCTACCTGGATGATCATGACCTGGACCACATGTGACAGGAGGTTCCACGGAACTTACTATAGATGTATCCGGAGGTGATGCATCATGAGTATTGAGGTAGTTATGTTCTAAAAGTTTTGAATTCGATATTTCATCATGATGACGGGATCCAAGACGTTTTTTTCTTGTACGCTTCTTTTTTTCTTTACCAGATTTATGAGACACTTGAAAACTGTCTGACATAACTTCATTAGGTGTAGTTCCTGATGTTAAATGATATTTCACTTCAGGAGTTGGACAACGTTTGATAGTACTTAGTTCTTGAGACTTTGGTTCATCCCCAATTGTATTAGAGTGGCTAGGATCTGAAAAGGATGGAACACGCTTAAGAGGAATATCAGCATCGGATACAACAACTTTTGATTCATCATCCGTAGTTCCTAGTACGGAACATTTAGAAGAACGGTCGGGATTAGCGGGCTGATCAGAATGGCATACATCTTCAAGTGAAGCTGACTTTGATGGACCAGTGAGTTGCGAAGACAGAGATGAATCGGATAAATTCCGCAGCTACTTGTGAAAAATATTAAAAGTGTCGTGTATATATTATTTGATAAGGATGATAATAGTGCTCATGATTTGTAATAAATAAAATACAACTGAGTATGAGTTCAAAAATCAATGAATTATAGTAGGTTCGAAGGTGGATCCCAAAACAAGTAGACTTCATTTGGTTATCGACCGAGAGATCAAAACAGTTATTGCTCAACTATTAAAATTTACTACCATTTCGACATCTAAACATAATGAATACCCAGATACTTTTGTGAACTATGATCAAGTAAGACTAGTTTTAACTATTTCGATTTTTGTTCTGGAAAGGGTAGGATTCTACACTAATTTAGTAGCGCTGTTTTCGCAGTGTGCGCTTCCATTTGTTTCTACGAAACAATTGTGATCTGATGAGAAAACAACGAATTATGAGTAAGGACCACAAGTTATTGTATCGAACACTCAAAAACAACAACTTGATAATAGCTTCTGTTGAGGGTTAAATGTTTATTTTATTCCAGGAGTATTAATCAGTAGTACTTAATTAGAAATTATTTTAAGAAGGAGACCGCTTGATACAGGCTTACAATAAAAACGAAATTCATGTTTAGAACAACTAAATTCAATAACAGTGAAATCGATTACACACTAATGATTTGCATGTACATTGAGTCGACTGAAACAATACATTTTTTTATTATTAGTAAACAGAAACGATAAAGGGACTCGCTTACAGAGTATGTAATATATATATATATATATATATATATATACAAGATGTTCGAAAAATAAAAGCTTAAAGTACTCAGAACTCTCTTCTTATCCAACACGACAAGATAGGAAAATACAATGTTTTTAATTAGGAAATCACATCAACTAATTTGTCAGAGTAACAGCATCGATAGCACTGTTAAAAGTTTGATATGAAACACTATATTAGTTCATAAGATATTTGATGAATAAATGAATAATTGTAGCTTAAAATTGAATGAATAGGAAGTCATAACGAATTTTCTAATTGATATCATTCACTAATTGAAAAACTATTCATGATCTAAAACTTTATAAATTTCATAATGAGTTCACAATAACATTGGAAAAAACAATTATATGAATGAACATTGGTTCAATTAACATATTTTTTTTAAAAATAAAATGAAAAAGTCTAAATGAGAATAACAATGATTACAATAATAATAATAATAATAATAATACAATTAATAATTTCTCTGTTCTAACACAAACAAACTTCATAATTCATATGACTTTTGGCTGATTTTAAATGAGCAATACACTGTTGTTGTTTTTTTATACGGTCAAATTACAAATGAATTAAACAATGAGGAATGCATACATATATAAGTATGGTAAAAAAAAAAAACTGGTGTAAACAATACTAGAATTCAGAGTGGAATAAAAAACAATATCGAATTAAATTTTCAACATACACAATGAAGTATGTTGTAAGAATATATATATATATATATATATATATATAAAGTTTAAACAAAATAAAAAGAGATTTGTTCATAATTTTATGTTTTTAATTGTAAATCAATGTTAAATTAAAAAATTAACAAAAAAACCAAAAGAATAGGATAGTAAAACAATGATGATTTATCAAAAGTCACAACCAATTCATTGTCTTTACATAAAATTGTCACTATTTAATAAGAGTCTAGACAGGAAGTTCATTCATCTAGGGAATTCGAATTTAGACTAATTGAAATACTTTGTGAATTTTGGAGACATTTTATTTATTTATTATTATTACAGCAGTATGACTAGATGAATAATCCAAGATTACTTATTTGTTTGTTTGATTTAGCCTCTTAAATAATTAATTTCTCATGTGTAGCTGCTCAATGATACTGATGAACTATTCATCATACCAAAATGTAGGGCAAAACGGTTACCTGATAAATAGGGTCATCAATAGTTGAGTCGTAAACGAGACCCTTTTTGAGAAATGACCTAATATCACTGACCTGATGAGGAGAAGTGAATTTAATAGTTGGATCACTTGATTTGAAATCATTAGGTCGCATACTCAAGTTTGAATCCAGCTTCGTTAAGGTTTGAGCAGTTGTGTGGAATCATCACTCGTCAAAGAAACAGAAACGTCAAGTACAGAGAGAGAAATATGCTTGACACATGAATTACAATGCGACTAATTGATTCAAGAAATATGTATATACATATTTTCTATATTGGACTTGAATCACAGACTAACCGGTCGTCTAATGAAAATCTAGAAACACTGAACAGCTGCTGTTTTATCTCTGATTAAGAAATGAAATCGGATCCAGAACATTCAGCTAAAAAAAGCCGTAAAGTTCTTATTGACTTCCAATGGTTCTTTCGATTGATATTGTGGTGTGTGCTACTTATACGAACGACATAAGTAGTATAAGAAGGGACGTGAAAGAAGAAGTCTCACGGTCAGAAGAGGAAAACGGAAAGCAAATGCAGCAAAAGCAAGAAGTAAATGGAGTACCAACAGGAAGGAAAGGAAGCAACAACAGGAATAGAAGAAGGATGGAGCGTTGGAAGTCACGACTCAAAGATGGTGTACAAATAGAGTATTCAATGTAATGTTTTCGTTTTTAACTAACTCAGAGTGTAACTTTGCATAATACAATCTTCCTCGCCTGCCTCAGTCTTTTCAATATCATCAGTTTATTAAAAAAAGCATTACAAATATCGGTACATTGATTTTTGGGGGTGAAAAAAACAAATTGTAAATTTTATTCATATGTAACACCAGACAAACTGATTCTACAAGATGAATAAAATTTCAAGAAACCTAAACACATGAATTCATATGATGAAATGCTTATACTGGGAAAACATCTTTTCCTTTGAAGAAGGAGCTATTTCTGCTAAATGAAACGGACGATAAGAAATGAATGACAATCAATTTGAATTTACCACCAATAATAAGACTAAGGTTTTAAACAAACTTAACGAAATATTATTACAACCTTGTTATGATAGAAATATATAAGGAATACACAAGAAGATGTCATTTTATGATTATTTACAAACAAATTATCCTTTTTGTTTTACAGATGTATCATGACTGGTTACATAGTCATTACTTATACTTGTCTGATTTTCAGAAGTTTGAATCTATGGATGTGAATATATACAAATAGTGTATTCAGTCGATTCAATTTATTTGTTTATACCTAGATGCATTGAACAAATCAATTCCTTACGTTACGTCACTATAAATGTATGTGTTCAATGCAAAGGCCATAATGCACAAATGAAATAGTTACTGTAAAGCAATGCTCTTTCACTGTCTGAGAGACTTACTAGTTAGTGAAGATAATAACACAGTCATTCTGGCAGAACTCGAATTTAAAAAAAACAGATTTCCAAACTGATTGACACCAGCTGAAAAATCCTTAAGAAATGTTTTACTCCCATTTTGAAAAAATTCGTCATTAAAAAAAATTTCATCATAAGATCCCAACTTGTTGACAAAGTAGTGACGTTTCCATCGAACTAAGTCAAAGATTTATTTTCAACTCTATGTACATGCACTTTTGAGTTGATTCAAACTAAATCATTGAGACCATACAGTATACACAGATATTTATTATTTATTCAATTGAACCCTGTGTCAGTCAGTGATTAAGACACTTTAATCAACGGTTTATTTGAATTAAATTCAGATTAATTTTAATATCATGTGATGTATAAAAACATGATTAATTTTTTTATGCATTCGCTTTAGAACTGCTAAACTTTCAACTGATTTATATAACCTTTTAAATTTTATGACATGTTAAAAAATTATGATCAGACTTATCAGAAATGCACATTGTACTGATAACCGAAATCATAAATGTATTTCAAATTAATTAATTAATTAATATTCAGCATATCAAAAACAACTGAAATTCCATCACTATACTTTAAAATCAATTAATTATTCAATGAATTATGCTTGTTGACAAGAATCTTTATAAGTGTGTATCACACACAAAACAGTAAGTCATAATAAATGTTGTCGAAACAGTTTAATTTCAACGGTCACAGTGTCAATCTGGATCGATTCAGTTTAATTAGCAATGGCTATACGAGAAAATGATAATCTTTATTATTGATATGATTGATGAGTGAAATAACTGTCTAAAAGATTGTGCGATTATTTAAAGAAAATATAACAAATATGGGTGCATTAATTCCTATCGAATTTATTACCAGTTTAGTGACTTTGTTTATATATTAAATATTTGAAAGATTATAATATGATGAATTAGGGTTAAAATTGTTCGAAATGACCTTATATATATTGTGATGAGTGTACACATTGTTCGGTAAATCATTTTTACAATGTCTATCCAATCACAAATAAATTAGTGCGTATTTCAGGTCAATATATTCAATAATTCTTTATCTGGGATATTATAAAGCTTAGGTATTCGGTTGAAATATGTATATGACCAGTGTATATGCGCTGATAAGACGTGAAATAAACTGAAATAGTAATTAAGATTACTGTATATGTACAGTGGAAAGATTAACATGAAACTATACAAAATATCGCATTTGTTTTAGATCAAAACAAATTTTTTTTGGATGATAATAAAAAAAGTCTATCGTCATAGTAACATAAGGAATGAATAATAAACTGAAGTGTTCTCATTTCGTGTTTTTTAATATAATTAAAAATTGAAGGTAGGTACTAAACGGTTTGTGGTGGTGTTTCGTTCTCTGAGCTGGTTGTTTTGGTTGTGGAGCTTTCATTGTTCTTCGGCTGAACAACATCATCAGCACAAACTTCAGATAGAAGTGAAACATTCGAATTTCTCCACGTTTGACCTGTAGCTTGTTCTGCTAACCTCGATCTTGATTGATTGCTGTTGACCTTTGACCTGTCGTTGTTTGCAACTTTGTTTTGATTGCACCCCCTTTTGATCTGTTTCTTGATCCTGTGTCACCTATGATTTTACTGATTGGTTGATAAATTGGGTCAATGTCGACGTGTTTGTTGATTGCTAATTGACCTGAGTGCCAAGCTTCTAAAAATTCTCTAGTGCCCTTTGTCCTCTCCCTACCCAGTATTTCCACACTGTCCCAATCAAATGTTTGTCCATAATTGTCGGTGTGTATTGATATAAGCGAAGCGTTGTCGTGGCGTTTGATTGCTAATTGATGTTCACGTAAACGGAGCTGAAGAGGTCGTCCACTTTGTCCTATGTAGTGTTTTTCACAGTTTGAGCAATTTATTTTGTAGATGATATTTGGTTTTTCTTCCTGTGTCATTTTGTCCTTTGGTCTAAATAGGATTGGTTGAAGTGATTATGTTGGTTTGTGTGCCACACCTATTCCAAATGGTTTCAGTAGTCGTGCCGTATGCTCCGATATGTCTTTGATATATGGCAGGATGACGCGTTTATTTGTTCCAGTGCTTGATTTTGCTTCTGATGATGGTTCCGGTTGATGTTTTCTGATGAAGTTGCGTGGATAGTCGTTCTTTTGGAAGATAGTTATCAGGTGTTTTTCCTCGTTTTTTAATGCTTCTTATGTGCTGCAGTGTGTCTTCGCTCTCTTGAACAAAGTTTGTATGCAGTTAATCTTGTAGGTTCTTGGGTTGTTGCTGTCGTAGTTGAGAATTACGTCGGTGTGGGTTGGCTTCCGAAATACTTGAGTTTCTAGTTTTCCTGTGTTAGTTCTGGTGATTAGTAAATCCAGGAATGATAGGCTGTTGTTTGATTCCTTTTCCATCGTGAATTTGATGTCATCAAAGACGTTGTTGATCCGATTGTAGATGTTCTCCAGCTCATTCCTTTTGATAATAACGAATGTGTCGTCTACATAGCGGACCCACATTTTCGGCTTGATCACTGGCAAGATCGACGCTTCCAGTCTCTGCATTACAAGCTTCGGCGATGAGTCCTGATATTGGTGATCCCATCGGTGTTCCTCTTCTTTGTTCGTAGACTCCGTTGTTGAATTGAAGATACATTGTTGAGCATAGGTCGATGAGTTCAAGCAGACTTTGACACTGAAGCTTTGTATATTTGTGTAGATTCGGGTCATTGATGAGGAGCAGCGAAAGAGTTTCTTTAGCTAAGAGCTTGGCTCTATTGAGGTAAATAAGGCTGTTACATCGAAGGAGATCATCATTTCGTCGTTGTCAATTTGAATCCCCTTGAGTTTATCCAAGAACATGCAGATTTTTTAGTACAATTCCTGGTGTGATGATAGGTGTAGATTGCTATTGAAAATATCCATACTAGGATGGAATATCCATCCAATGCTAGTATTCTCTAGTTAGTATCAATTCTTGACAAAAACAAATATAGTAAAAATGTGAGAGAAAAAACATCAGTAAACAATAACTTACCCTATGTGGAAACGTATTCGGCACTAATTCAGCATCACCATCTGTATCTTCTTCGTCTTCAACCATAGCTAAACTATAATCACCATACATATCGCGTATTTGTTGTAATATTTCATCAATACTCATTGTCTACATTTAACAGACAACAATTGTGACAAGGAGAAATCGGGAAAAAGGTAAAAAAAAATAAGCAGATAAATGACAATACCTTTTACATAAAATGTAGAATAATCAAATAAAGTATTTACTAATAATATTGACTTGAGTAATAGTACAAATTCAATAAGATATTGTTGTTGCAACATTTCTATGAATCAATCAATCAATCTAGTTTAAATATTTATTTCATGCTAATATGAGAATATTGTAGTAGTTAATACTGTGGCTGTCCTTCTCTTTGTATCTGAACCTAATTATAGAAATGTACTGTGATTAGATTCAATAGAACTGAATTGCGATAATATCAAGTACTTTGATGTATTATTTATATTATCGTATACATTCCACTGCGACTGACTAATAAATTCGTTGGAAACAATTAAATTTATATATATAATATATAATATATATATTTTAAAAATCTAATGCTTTTCAAAAAATAATTTTGATATTAATGGCTTTGTTCAATATTTTAAGTATAGAATTCTTAGCATTAAATATTTCGACAAGTTTCCTTTTCAATATCATGTTACTAGACACCACGAAGGCTCAGATTGTACCTTTGTATACATTATGAAGCGATAGATCGTAAATATCTTACATATTCGCGATTAATGGATAAAGTTGAAGTGGGAAAACAAAAAAAGAGGTAACTTGTTGAAATATTTTGATGTTAGGAAACAGGTGACCCAGATATTGAAGAAACGTCACTAATCTGTGTTTGACTATCAATCGATCTGATGATATCAAAGGACAAAAAAGTTGGATTTCGACCGCAAAAGTAATAATGATATATATATATATATATATATGCATTAGTCAAGTCAGGTTTTCGTTGAACTCATCCTTAGAAATGATTCAATAAACACACACTTGACAATCATTATCATTCAAAGAAATTTACTTTAGTCAACTTGATAACTTTTTGTGTGAATTAGTCACATACAAAAGAAAGTGATTCGGTAATAATAATTATCCAAGATTATGATAATCATAAAAACAAATGAAAAAAAATTAAATTAAACGTGATTAAGAAAGTAATATCTATGATTTTATAAGGCGTTCCACTATTTTAATTTAAAAAAATATCTTAAATTACTAAATATACTGTGTGACATATTGGCAGTGGAATGCAAATATATCAAAATTTAAAATGTCATTCATATAGTATGATAAGAACGTTGATAGAGTTAGTGAATGAATAAAAATATACAGTTTGAGCTATTTTATAGATAGACACGTAAACACACACACACAGATAGAAAGTTAGCCACTAGAATAACATAGAGACTGCCACAAACAGAGCGTTAGCCTCAATAACTCGGAAATCTTTCCAGTTATCATCAAAAAATAATGTACACCGTTTTTAGAGAGCAGAAAGAATTAAAGAATTAGACTACCCATAACTTCTTCGGATGATTACCGAGCACGATATTCAATCACTTTTCTATTTATTTATTGGATAAATAAAGCAGGTTCTAGTGAAATTTAAACCGAATATAACATGGCGAGCAACTACAGTGTTCTATGAACATATTCAATACAGTGTAGTTTCATGTGTCATATAGGAAACAAAAGTTAAAAATGAAATCTTTAATGGATATTACTCTTCAATATGCAGTATTCATCTATTAATTAACAGGAATAATAATCAAAAGTGAAGACAAAGTGAATGTGGGAAATATTGTGAAATTACCTTAAAGGGATTTAGAGTAAACAAATTTTTTACAAAGGACTAGAAAAAAGGGCGCATCTAACGCATCATAGGTATTATTATTTTCTGTGAGCTGTTGTCAACAAGCCGCATAATAAATAAAATAGACAACTGATTATCATGATAGATAAAAATGACAATAGTTAAGCTTATTAATCGCCAAATTTTAAGAGCAAGTTTGAAAAATAACAAAGCTTCTCAACATCTAATATCCACTTATTCATGTATGTGTATACAATTCAGCCTCATGGTACATAACAATTACAATTTATCTTATAAAGACGCTCACTGTAAACTCTTATTGATCAGATAAACAGTATTCATCTTAGAAATTGGTTTACATTATGGCATTAATATTATTTATTGCATAGAAATGTTATCAACAATAATGTAACTTTAAAAAACATATACACTAAAACAGTTTAACAGAACCTTATTAGTCTCATATGAAAAAGAAATAATTAATTCTATTGTTTATTCAATAGGAAACATTTAGTTCAAGACAAATCCAATGAATACTAATCCAATGGTTAGAAATATCGACGATAGTATTTTAATCTTTAGTTTATCAATCGGTAAACTATTGAACTTAGAGAGAGAGAGAGAGAGAGAGAGTAGTCTTCTAAAATGATTATAGTTAATTACTCATCTGATAAAAGGCATATTTGCTGTCTAAACAGAATTACTGTATTTATTATATGATAGAATACAAACCTATATCATCCAGTTTTACAGTCACGATATCATACCAGTGAGTTATTTAGCTTATGACTAACCTTATATAATACAACTTTTGAAACAATGTGAAGTTTAAACGCATCATCTTGAGTATGTTTGTTGATGTTAACATTGTAATTGGAATCACATGCCTTTAAAATCATTGGGAGTAACAAGATAAGTTAAAAAGATTCACGAAATTTTTCCAAACAAATTGAATAAATAATTAATTATTTAGGCTAAAATTAATACAATTTACTTATTATTGCTTTTTAAATGATGGTGTTTGATAACTAAGCCTATTAAATATGGAACATGAGAGCTGAAACAAACATCTCTTAATTATGTAGTTTACAGAAATCGCAATTCAATAACTGTAGTATGACATCAATATTATAAATTTGAAACATCTTATCGATTCATTATTGCCATATTACAATTATGTTGAATCATGCTCTTGAACTCTGTTGCACAGAACACAAATCATAAGACTAATAAATAACCAGTTTTAAAAGATCAGATGAATTGATAAATTCACATGGAACTGATCAAGAATGAGAATTAATACCTCAGAACTGATAAGAATTCACTGTAGAGAAAAATAAAAACTAATTTTAACAATCGATATAGTGTATCAATTCTAGTAAACATTATAATTGCATAAGACTCAATATATGAGTGTCATTTAAAGAATATGCATCAACAATGATAACATGATATCGTTTCTACCTCATTAGAAAAAAAAATCATTATAATCTAACCCAAATACACTTTTCCCTAATTAACTTCTGCGAATAACCCAACTTTATTGAATATAAGTGTACAAATTAAGAAAGTCAAGTAGTTACTTATAATTTACAAGGTTAGTCATGTTATAGTGTGTAAATCTAATCGAATAATTAATTTTGTTACGAGTAAACACAATGTTATCCGAGAATTGTGGTTCATATTTGAGCCACACTTTTCATCTGTCGGTTAAGGCACTATTACCTGCCTATCTATAACCAAGTCGATAGAGTGATGTTTGAATCTGGAACCCATTATTGAAAGTTGAATTCTTTAACTGATGAATCCCTAATTAGCAACTAACATGACAGTTAAAAAAATATGACAGAAATGAAGCGAATTTCAGATGACCAAAAGAAATGAGGCATTACATTAGTAATATGATTATTTGATGTAAACTTAGTAAGTAAAAAACATAGTCTCCGTATAAGTTATAAACATCGAATTCAAAATAGTGAACAAGACTAAAAGAACAGAAGGAAAACTGTTCTGCTTAAGTTAGGAGGATTTCAAGCTTTTATCACATTGAAAACTAGCAACACATACACAAAACTAATGTTGAGAATAACACCAACAATATCTAATAAACTATTTGTTGGTTAATTTAATTCTGTAAGGAAAACTATGACCATGAAATCGATTAATTCGCATTTTTTAAAAACGTTTTTTACTTCACCACAAACTGTAGCAAGAGACAGGCAAAGAACAATTACTATTAGTGAGTTTTAGATAATAATAGCAAGCAACTTTACTTTCCTAAGTTATAAATAGATAAAGTGTGAGATTCTTTCTTTTCTTATTAATTTGAAGAGAAATTCAACGCAATAAGTTATCATTGAAAAAATAACATTTTGATACATTTGAAGAAGAGAAATGCTTGTCTATTTTAAAAGTTATAAAAATACGAGAAAAAAAAGTAATTTAAAGCAAGTAACACACATCACGTGAATAAAACCAATGTGTTACATGTTAAATTGCAAACAACAAAGCATATAATAAAAAAAACATTAAGAATAGCTTACCTTATTTATTTGTACAAGTGTCTTGTGAGTTGTTTTATAGGGAAAAGTTAAAGATTTTCTATTAATAACTAAGAGATAAGTATTTTTTATAGGTTTCAAAGTATAATACTATTTTCATTACATGAACATTGAATGGCTAAATTTACGTACATTTATACTAGTGTAATAAATATGAGATTTATATTCAATAGAATGTCTTTGATTGATGAATCGAAATAACATGAACACCATCATGCTCACAATCATTTTCGACTCAATTAAAAAAACAAGAATTATAAACACTACATGTTGTAAAATTTAGACTGTTTTCCATAGAAATCACCAAAACAAAAGTAGAAGAAAACAACGAAATCAGAAAATGGCAGGAAGGAAGAGTTATCGACTGTTGTCACTTATTAACCACATCGGGGTTAATAACCAATTCAATACTCTGTCACCATTTAATCTGATTTCACGAATCAGATAAAACTATTTTTTTAGGCTTATTAAATAAATATTTATGCGTCAAAGTCATGCATATACGCATAGATATGTGACAAAATCGTAATGACCCATAATTTATAAAATTTTTGAATGTGCATAATAACACATGATTTAATGTAAATAGAAATCGTGATTGTTGTTTACTCTACATATAGTAACTTGTAATTACAGAATATACTAGTTTACTGAACTGACTACGTTATACATTTATGCATGATGACTCAATAAATTTATTCGATCGTTCGATAAATAGTCCTGCCACTTCACTTGAATTTCTGCAACTGGAAATAAGGCGAAATTTTTTATCTAGTGAGGACACGCGATACACTAAAACAATTGGAAAATAGGCCAAACGATGAGAAATACCTACGGACATATACGATTGGTCAAAATTTATTTAAACTTTCCGAGGAAATAGACATACACTATTGGTTGAAAATGTGGCTAAATCTTTTGAGGGAAAACTATTTATTTCCTATTCAGTTAGCTAATAAAAGCTTTCTAGTCACTTCTTATTTCCTAACTTTGGTAGCTAATTAGCTAACGCATAAAATGCATATGTCAGCAGCAGATTCAGACAGTAGTAGAACAACTATAGACATGACAGAAAATTCTTTGTAAGTTGCGGTCTTTTCAAGTAAAGAAATCTCTAGTTTCAAGTGATGAGAATAGTTAGTATGATAAACGAGGGGATGAATCATGATTTTATATGTAGTTCAAGTTTTAGTACTCAAACATTATCAAATACAGAATACCATTAGAAAAATGTGTCGATCTATCACGTTAAAATCAATTATGAGTTTGGTTTATGAATAAATAATAATAAGAATGCTTTTTATGGAAGCAGTATCAATGTTTAAATCAATTCGACTGATTGATAAACGAGTATATATATATATATATATATATATATATATATATATATTTAAGCCCCACAAGCTAAGTATATTAAGCGTATAATTAATTCTCTAATTAATATACACATAACCCGATCAATGCATCACAAAACAACAACACTTACAAGGTTTACAACAGTTCTTCTAACTAATGTCGATTTAAGATGAACAACTATGTTTGAAAATCACTAAACTATGTCAAGTAAAAAATACTTTTATATATTTCAGATCAAATTGTTCAATCAGTATGGAATAATACTTGAGAGGTATATTGTAGTAAGATAAAAGTATCGAAAACTTCAATGAATACATACTAGAAGTGATTAAGAGTAGATACTATCACTCATTGTTTAAGTCCACTTTGTGTTGTGACTGCAAAGTAAGTAAAGAATTTCTTTGATCTGTCAAGTCATATACAATGAGACATATTAGTTAAATGAATAGTTAGCTTATTCGCTAAAATAAACATTCAACTGTGTTTAACAAAAAAGTGAAATTCTACCCAGAAGACTAATAGTTCCTAATCCAACTATTGTATCTCTCTATCTTTTACACACTTCTTACCTGGTGATTACGACAATTTTCCCAAACTTTGCGTAATATTGCATAAGATCTTTCTCTGGAAGCGAATGATGTGAAGAAAAATCGTTCATGATTTTTAGAATATAAAATTTGAATTGCATTTGGTATAACACGAGCAGTTTTCTCTTTGGTAATTGCAACAATTTCATTGACAGCCAAAAATATCTAAAATTATGATAGACAATGCATAGAAATACTAATTTAAGGAAACCTAATTCAATAGACTGACTGTACATAAAATATATGGCGTAAACCACTGTACAAACAATACATAATATTACTATGAGGATTCACAAAAAAAAATCCTCAAAAAAGGACATTAATTAATGTAGGTGAGAGGAGTTATATCGTTAATTTTCCAAGATTATTCATTGGTTCAGAGAATTAGATAAACAAATTAGCTGTATAGTTAGTATAAGACTGTATAATCTTTGAAATATAAGCAATATGATTACACATACATTACTAAATTAATCAATCTATACAAAACAATATGACTAACAATGTGCCATTACTAAAATACAACACAGACTGAAAAACTTATTTACACACAGAAATCAATTATTTGCACTTGAACATAATCATCATTCCATAAATATAAGCATACATATGCTTGTCTGTTTACAATCTGGTTACAATAGAGACTAGTTAACAAATATGCATAACTTCATGTAACATACAATCATCGGGAATAGCATTTATCAACTTTCTACTTTGTGTACAACATTAACTTTTGCTCATAATATTCACATTCAACCCTGCTTACTACTATTTTTCTCTTTGAAAAGCATAGTTATAATGACAAGTATTATAAATTGCTTACGAATAAATCGATATTAAGTTAAAAACTATTTCTATAAAAAAACAAAAATACTATTTAGTAATTGTTATAATAATAAATTGTAGAAAACTTCAATCAACTACTAGAAAATATCAAGCTGTTAATTATTGAACTGTCAAACACAACCCCGTGGAGATCAGATGATCAGAAATCAATGTTTATAATTGACCTAAATCGATAAGTGCAGTGCATTTGAAATTTCCTCGTTTAAGAACAATGAATAATTTATTAATTTAATGAGTTTACGATTGATACTGGTAATTGAAAAAAAAAGATTGTACTGTTGTCGTCAAAATGATATTTCCCGCAAAAATAAAGAAGAGAAAAGATAACTGTGTTATACAGATTAAATTTGGAGCATCAGCAGCTCAGTAAAATAAATCTTAGCTTAAATAGATTTCATTCACTTTCATCCAAAATTAGGTTAACGTGACTGGTTAGTACTGTTACGCTTCAAATAATAAAAGTAGTTCAAAGTTAAACCCAATAGCCTTAGTCAGTATAACGGCATTAGAAAAGACGATAGGTAGACATGAGTAGTAGTGCATATCTCACCAAACCAGCTCATTCAATCACAATTCACAGCCTCATCAATAAATAAACCATTTCTATTTAGTGACCCGAAATTGACCATGACGTTGCGAAATCAGTGGTTTCATGAAAATTCGAGCACACACATAATCGAATATTTCATAAGAAAGTTATTATTTCTTATTATGGATAAATCTGACGGACCTGTTCAACATGCACATCAAACTATTCCGAAGAATAGTAAGAACTCTAATCAGTACGCTTAGTTTTTAAACGAAAAATGAGGAGATCATAAATCCTTTCCAAAATTTATGCCAAATATATTTTCTTTGAATACAAATACTTTCTGTTTGTGAAAATACAGATAATTCATTTTTATTTCTATTGTTTAAAGCATCTCTGTATATGAATAAGCGTCAAACGCTTCAATAACCCCACCGTTTCATTTTTCATCTTTCAACTACAAAAATGTTTTGATAGGAATTTTATGCACATACGATTATCTTAAATTCATTTCATCAAACTAACTGATTGCTTGTAAAACATAAGAAATGTTGAATGTTCTTCTGTGTTCAGGTTGTTGTAACTGAATGATTTTTTAAATCTTTACGGCCATTAACGAAACACTTGATACAACTGAAAAGAGTTATTTACTTCACGATGTTTTCCTCATTCCTCGAGAGTTCTTAAATTTCATTTTTTTAAAAAGTAGTAGAAATTCATTTTGGTTAATAATTAAAGAGATCATGTACACATTTTTTTACAGATATTCTAGTGAATTTATTCAATCAAAACTATACTACACATTTTCATTGATATGACAGTTTTATATTATTTGAAACTTTATTTCTAACACTGTTAGTTAGGCTTTTTTTTTTTAAAACTTTAACTGACGGAAATAAATACTTATGCACTCTCACTCAGTACACAAATTACAAATAAGCTTACTTTCTGTTCATAAAGAATTTTCGAATAAAAGCATACCCATGTTTCAGTAATATACATTCGACCTTGAAGCAATAGACCATTATTATTTTTAGATAAAGCGCATGAATAATCTATTGGAATAATAAAAATTAAAAACAATGAACAAAAGAAAAATAAAACAGAATTATATACTTCAAAAATAAAATGAACCATGTCATCATACCGTATTGAATAAAATTACAATAGAATGCTTTGAGTATAAAACACTAAGAGAGAGAAGAGGTTAAGCAAGCGAAAAAGTTATATTAATTAATAATATGCTAAAAGTATATGAAAATATTTGCAATAATCATACGGACTTGTAAAAACATTTTTCTATGAATATGTGTATATTTGTATACCTTTTGAGAATAGTCACTGAAAGCATAGTCAGATACAACTTAAGAAGAAAAAGATAATTATATATAAAGTATAGGGGATATTAAAGTAGTGAGTTATTTTATTTATTCACATACAGACTTTTCTATAACTAGAATAGATAATTTGAATATGGCGCCAGAAGATATTCCGTCAAATGTACTATGATTTAAAGAATTATAAATTTGTTTAGCAAAATAACTTATAAAACTCAAATCAGTTTCTGTGTTTCTAAGAGTAGAATTTGAGCACAATTCTTAGTATTAAATATCAGTATTTTATTAATATCTGAAAACTGATTTTTATAAAACTATTTCTATTTTATTGCATTTCGGTTCTAGATTAATAAGATGTTTATAAGATATCCGGGAGAAAATAATGACTTCTTTCCATTACAAATATTTCTATTCATATTAGCAAAAGTTCAGTAATGTTTCTATTGACGAAATTCATTACCTTATTTCAGCTCAACTCTCATTGATGTATGGAAAATATACTTCATAAATTCGAACTATCAAGTGTTTCAGTTTTATATCAACTAATGTCAAGTTCTAAGAACCTATTGCATATGCTCTCAACTCGGAATTACGTAGAATCTTGGATTTCAGCATTAAACTATTTCGTCATAAGATCCTTTGTAGTGTCTAGTACAACGTCACGCTTATATGGCTTATTATAACTTTTGGAAAAACTATTCAGTTTATCCTTTCCAAGTCGTTATCCACACACATATTGACCATGTAACTTATTCGCTTATAACCTTAACTTGTGTTATTTAAACGAGTGAAACTCGTCCCTTGATACCTTACGACATGAGACGTAACATTTTTGAAAAATTGCACAACACATCCATCGAAAAAGGCCATAGTTAAGCTTGTTACAGATCATTTGTATGGCCAAATATAGAAATGATTTAGGAAAACGGGCACAAGAATGCATCCAGTAACAGAAGTCAGAAACCCACAGACACACCATATAACCTACAAATTTCGCTCTACCAACACTAAATTCAACCACATTCGTATCGACATCGTTGGACAACTACCGATTCCCAAAAGATATACATACTTACTAACATGTTTAAACTGATTTACAGGATGGCTTATCAGCTGTTTCGTTAAAAGACATGACACTATCAAATGTGGCAAGGGTGGCGAAACACTGGATTGCAAACTTTGGTGCCTCAGTAACAATTACGACCGATCTTGGAGCTCAGTTTGAAATCATCCAGGTCACACACAAAGTCAAGAAAAAGTTGTTATATTTTCACCATCTGTTTGCTATAGTTTAGATATTTAATCCACTATACGTATGAATATGTTAGTTTTTGAATAAATGCATATCTGCATCTTAGTCTTCATCTATTTCTCTTATTGGCTGTAACACTGACAATCAATAGCCCAGCTCACGTATTGATTTGTACTCAGGAAAAAACATACATTCTTCCTCTTGATTTACTAAGTTTTCTATGTGCTTCCTCATCGCGTGCTTGTGATTTTAATTAAGTACTAACAATACATGCTACCCTCTCTTAGTGCTAATCAGTAATAGTAAGGTATTCAAATTAAAATGGATGAAATCGGTTTTGAGTTTACCATTTAATGTACGTACGACTTGATCGCTTCAAAATAGAGTATCAAGTGAATTGTTAATAATAAAAGTAATCATGTAGCTGTAATACCCGAATTCGTAGGAAATTAAATTATTGTAAGCTATACCTTCAAATCAAAACAAGTTTTCTAAATTTGAACAACATTCTAAGCATCAAGGCTAGTGATATTACCTGACTATCTAAACCAAAATAGGTGGAGCGGAGCTCGGAACTACGCCCTAGTAGATGAAAAGCGAACATCTTAGGCACTATTTCATCATTCGACTAACGTAAGAAAAAAAAATGTATTAATTTCAAAGAGTAAACACTAAGTACATGTAAAGATCTTCGGTTAGTCAAGAAACCAACGGTTACCAATAACAGTAATAATAAAAATAATAATAATCACATACAGCAACTTACCTACAAGTAATCGTTCAGTGTCAACAGGAGTATCACGAAAAATACGTCGAAACTGTTCCAATTTTGTTCGGTAGGATGGGGTTAACGACTGATTAGTATAAATATTCATCATAAAGAAAAGCAAATGGAAAATAACTTATAATGAAGCGTAGACCGACAATTTCAATAAACTTGAAATACTTAACGTATACTTTTGATACAATATTTGGTTGGATAAAATAACGAATGAAAGATCTTTGATAATATTTATTATATTATATTTATTATAGGCTACTACAATGAGCACTGGCTAGTGAACTAGTATGTAAATTATAAATATAACTACGAAAAACTAATAATAACAACACTAGCATTCAAGACAGTCAGTTATATGGAAAAAAGTAAACACAAGCCAGTGTACTTGATAACCATTCAAAGAATGCCGTCTATATGGAATCTGTTAGCCTTCACAATTTGTTACTAGTTGAAAAAACTAAATATACTACTTATTAAACAAACATTTAACAGAATTACTTTATACTATAATCAAGTGCGAAAATTAGCCGACTAACAAATTAATTTAGACTAATTTAAGTCTATATATTTTATTCATGATATTAGTAAATTACAACGACTAAATGATTAAAAAAAATGTTGTTATATATAGGCAAGGAGATAAGTGATAACTGGGAAAAATATCAAAGAAAGATGGTTAATCTGCTATGAAGCACAGTGTTATGTTGATATTGAATAAATCCTTCAATTTAGATGATGCATTAACATCAGTTTTTCAAGTCCAAGCGACGACTTTTTAACTAGTTTTTAGCTAATTAGAAAATAACCATTGTAAATGGAAAATTTCTAGAAAATAAAACGATAATGTTACAAATAGAAAACAAATTTTACATAATTAATTAACCGATCCCAAATACTCCTGAAGACATGGATTGTTCATTTTCTCTAAATCTTTAAAAAGGTTCAAACAGATTTTTAAGAGTCCTTTCATAGTTCCTGGTTACGATTAGGTATTTAGAGTTGGAATTACAGGTTTAGGGTAAGAATTTTCATCATATCGATGACTGAATTTCACGTGGAAATGCAATAAAAGTCAGTTAATTATTTCATCCGTAAAGTTCAAACAAACTGAAGTCGAGTGGAGTTCTAACCCTGTCACTCAGAAATTAAAAATCAAATGTTATAAGCAATAAATTATTATCGTATGCTATAGATCATAAACTGATTAGTGATCTAAAATTGTATAGCTTTCCATATCTTTCATTTAATACAAAGATATCTATGCACATGAGATATTAGACAAGTACACACATACACAGACGAACGTGGATCAAATGAATATAATAGAAATTTGAATATATATACAAAACAATAGACATGTGGACATATGCTGCATTACTAGACAATGTTAAATATAAAAATAAAACGAAATATTACAGAGATGATAGCGGTAACGTTTTATACTACTAGAACAAAAAGAAAATAACAAAAGGCAACTAAAAAAGCTAAGAGAATAAAAGCAAGAGATTGTCTCCTGCTTTCTTTTTTAGAATAAATTACAACTCAGGTTCATTTCTCAGCTAATTGTTATGTTGTAATCTATGGTGAAGCAACTGTACATGATAATGATAATAAGAATGAAAGTCTACACAATGGATTTTGAAATTAGTACAACGGAACTGAAAAGCTTTGTCTATAGATGTTATGAAACTAAGCCGAACTTGGTAGTTTTTTGTAAATTTCAAACAAAATACTTTATTTTATTTTTCAAAAGAGTACACACACGCACACACACACGAGTAATGATGTACAAATTACTTGAGATAATATTAAAGTTCTTTCTAAAGTCTAATTAAAATGATAAAAAAAATATAAAAAGAACTTTATACCTGGAATGTTAACTTCAATGATATCAATGCGTTTATGATATTCGAATATTGATAATAAATAAACAATAATGTTTCATACACATATATCCCTTTATAAACTTGAGGAGAGCAAATACAAGAGTGCAATACATCAACTAGATAGGATGAATGTGACTGAGACAGTTAAAAAATGCACCGAAAGTTGGAGCACTGGGTTTTATTAAAAAAATCTTTATTTCAGAATTATATGATAGTTAATTTTTAGTGTAAGATGAAAATATGAAAACTATGATCGTGATCTTAGTAGTGACTTACTTGGAAATGAATTCCGTCGGATAGTCATGTCGACAACGAAACAGTCGATGTCAATCAGACTGGAGGATCATTGTGTCACTTAGTAAGCTGATTAAGATTGTTATATATATACATATATATATATATATATATATATATATTATTGGAACTGAAACCCAGTAATCAAATCATTAAGATAAATGTAAGGACTCTTGATCGTGAGTGTGCACCGCTGACTTCTATAACGGAACAAAACGGCTTTCGGAAATGTACATTACGAAATTTGATAAGTTAGATGATAAAAAGAAAATCAAAAATGCTTCTTTTATAAAAGTAGTAGATAAGTAGAATATGCAGTTAAGAAAATGAATACCAACAACCTTCAAGGATAATGGCATGTGTAATATGTAGCAGATTACTCACACTCAACAGAAAATCATGACAACATAAATACAAGGAGAAGCGGATGATGACAAACGAAAATAATCACTAGACATATACAATTATAATCGTTAAACTATTTGATTTCAAAAACAAAAGCTAAACCATAGATATAACCAAACTTCAGATATCAATATCAAAGTGTTGCGATATGATTATTATTTATATAAACAAATATGAACTATGGTTTTGTATAGATAAACAATGCGGGATATTTGAATAACTCATATATTTATGGTGCAGAAATGAAAAAAAAAGAAATACTAGGCTCACTTAGCATTTTTCACAAACAGACTATTGATTTAAAATAATTACACATTCACACAAATTTTACATACACTTCCATGCATTTAAAGCAAATAAATTCTGGTTTTTATCATATTGAAAAATAATAACTGATCAATGGACAGAAATTGAGACATCATGCATTTATGGCTAAGAATTATTGCTTAGTGAACGAACAGACGTTTACTTACTGAGTATTGACACATAATTCTCGGTATGAGGAATGTAAAGTTGTACACTGTTTAGCTTCCCATGTCCAAACAGGTAGCTGGAGTGGATTTTAAATATACAAATCAACGTTTGAGACTTAATGAATGAGCTCTATTTATTACTCTGATAAACACATAGTAAATATGTAACACTAATAGTATAAAGAATTACAAATCATATAAGAAAATTCCCCGTTGATTTTAATGAACGTTAGCTTCGAACATTAAAAATCTTTGATCCGATTGTGGGCATGAACTGCGGAAGAATCTCATACCAAAACATCCAATACTTTTCGATTTTCAACAGTTCCACAGCACGAAATGGTACTATCTCACAAAATATGTCTTCTTATTTCTCTATTCAAGTTCCATAGTTAGTAATAATCCCCCAATCAGAATCAATCTTGATAAGACCTAATGGTAAACCTCTCAACCATGATTTAATTATGATCAAAATTTTTATTTTCATACAGTAAATCAAACTTTCATATGTGAGGCAATAGGATATTAGTCAAAATGAACTGAACCATTGATAGAAGCTGAGTTTATACAAACTGCACTTGCTTTAGAAATATCAACAAGTAGAAGGGCTATGTAGAAGGAAGTAATCACAAGCGCAGATCCCCATGGCAGTAGCAAATATTCAAGTGGGAATCTTGAAGGTTAACGTCAAATGAGAACAGCAGTTAACCATCAATCAGGCATTCCTAAGTGATCCAATAAATTGGAACAGACATAGAGCACCTAATAATGCCTGTTCGCAGACTATGTTCACTAGTGCACGACAATAACAAAAATATTCAATGAGACAATACATTAAATTGATAAGCATGAAGCGAAAATAAGTGTATATTCTGCATTTCACCATGAATATACAAATCAAAAAGTTGAACAAGGAGGCACTTTCAGTATAGAATAAAAACATCTTTTATTACTGTTAATTAGTGTAATTTAATAGTTGAATTTGAAATATTTACTTATTTTATAAAATATCATTTATTAATAATAATTATAAAAAACGTGTCATTGTCAATATAATTTTCTAGACAATATTACATCAATATCAATAATAATAATAATAATAAGATAATATCATAAAATCGTACATACCGCTATCAGGCATATGATTATGTTTTGAAAGAAAGAAAATGTCAATATTTTTAATCCTCTAAAGTTAATGAATTAGTGATAAGTGATGTGTTTGATTGTCTATAGAACCAAATTATTTTTATCTTTTACATATTAACAACAGTAATAACAATAATCAGTGTTCTCATCAGATTTTATACTTTTCACTTAATAAATAATAGATTTTATTAGTCTGATTTAATGTTCAAGTTTAGAGAATAGTTATTTTGATGAATAATCAGAAATTTTATTCCTTTAGTTTATCACATTGTATGTACAAGCTGAATAGATAAATTTATCATCTTTAAAAAAAAAACATTTTACACAATGATTGCTAGATATGTTATTTAAAAAGTTTGTATAAAATAAACGCTGATTAGATTGTCGTCCAGAATAACAACAAAAGAATAGCATTTTAGTGGTAAAGAGTTCTTTTAACAGTATAGAGGCAACAATATCCGCTCCCACATCAATATTGACATACTCCTGCTTGAAATGAAATGAAAACATACATCTCAAGGAAGTAAACAACAGCAAAAACATACACCTGACCTACAAATCTATATTACTTTAATATCTATTTTGTTTAAACTTGATAGCATAGGAATTTTCACAGTCCAAACCACGGTCTGATCTCAGTTACACGACCACTAAAAACCAGGTTGTCCTGAACTGGTGTCTCGTTCTAGCATGAGGCTCCGCAGAAGTGAGCATCCACGAACCCATTGATGATCGAATCAAGGAGCTAAGGTCGAAAGCGAAAAATACCTCTCTAGTGTGCTGAGATTTGTTCGCAAACCATGTTTGGTGTTGATAGAAAAGAATAAAGATAGGTAGACTTTTATATGTAGATATAGTTATATTATTAG